ATATTCTATTCTCTATGTATATATATATATACAGTTACATGTTTAAAATAAAAAATAAAATTTTATTTGTATCTTCAATAAGAGTATTTATAATTAAAAACATTTGAATTACGTGGAATTTAATGTTTATTAATCCACCGGCACCTGCTATGGAGGTTTATTTAAGGACAAAGTAATATTGTAGACTGACAGATTTAACAACTAAAGTTTATTTAAAGGGACCGTTCACTTATTTGGGTAATTTCAGGGTACACAGGGTAATTTGCGCTCGAATTCTGAACGAAAAATCGGCTTTTTCTCCGGGCACAGTTGTCTTTGAAACGTGAGACTAATACCAATCTACAGCGAATAGGCTGTTTAATTTACCCTGAAATTACTCAAATAAGTGAACGGTCCCTTTAATAGATGGTAAAATCAAAGAATTTTAGGAAGATAAAAGTAAAGATGGATAGATTAATAAGAATTTATTAAACCTTAAGAGTGAATTCATCTGGTCTGCATTTACCCTCACAAAAAGGCGCTGTACCATCCCACCTTCATTATCATTATTATTATTATTATTGTTATTATTATTATTATTTTTATTATTTTTATCATTAATTCAATTATTATCATATAATTATCATTATTATCATTATTATCATTATTACCATTATTATCATTATTATCATTATTATCATTATTATCATTATTAATATTGTTATTATTATTATTATTATTATTATTATTTATCATTATTTTTATTATTATTATTATTATCATCATTATTATTATTATCATCATTATTATTATTATCATCATTATTATTATTATCATCATTATTATTATTATCATCATTATCAGTATTATCATTATTAACATTATTATTATATGTGAACCTGCATCCTATTCTTGAGACCACGTAACTATCTTGAAGTACTTCAGAGGCTAGAAATTTCATTTTCATTTTTATTATTATTATTGTTTTCATTACGATGTATCTTAGAGTTAGGCTTTATGATTTTCTATGTGATTTGAACAAGTAGCATCTTTCCCAAATGTATATTTAAGGTTAGGTTAAGCCGTCGATCTAATTACTCTAAAGAGTATTTTATTATCATCAAGTAAAGATTTTTTTACTCCGTTAAAAATGATTTTTTCTCTCTCTTTTTTTCTTAGACCCTGTAGCATGTCTTAAGTTTTTTATCTATAAAATGTCCATCTATATGGGTCTATACAAGTCTTTTTTATAACTCACCCTGTATCAATTTCTGGAGGATGAGAATGATAATAAAAGAGGAACTATGCATCCCAAAATAATCTATAAAGATATGAACAGTTTCAAAAATCTAAACAGACTCAGGAAAATTTCATGTTCCAAGATCTAATTATAATGTTTACAGCAGGACCGCGGACACGTTTTTTGCCAATTATTTATAATAAAACAATATTTTTAAAATATTTAAAATGCTAGATAAAAAAGATTAAAAAAATGAGTCTACTTATTATACCCTTGCATACCTGTCAAAGAAAACTAGGATTTTTTTCGTTGATGCATGATCACTTTCTTTTGGAAAAATCTGAATGAACTAAAGTTTTTAATATTTTATTGTTATTAATTGTAATATTATCCACAACGAATTAATTTTATTATTTATTTTATATTTCATATTAAAATGAATTGCGTTTCAACTAAATACAAATTAAGTATTTTGCAGGCCATAGTACTTTAGTAGATTTTATATAAAATAAGCCTTCAGGACGCTTTGCGCCCATCTTCTATTTTAATTGTGTGTGAACATTTTCTCTTTGTATACATTGTAAAACAATAACAACAACAAAAAGTTCGCGGATCTTGACATATCTTTACTAGGGCTGGGAAAAGATACGTTAACGAAACGGGTGTTTTCGAAAAAAACGGAAGAATCCATGAACGAACTGCAAAAATCGTTAATTTTTAATGCTTAATGTTGACAAGACGGATCTTAGCCATTTTTGAAAAAAAAATAACGGTTTAAAACAAAAACGGATCAGATATTTTTTTTTAACGTTGAATTTCGTTTTTTTCTACTTAAAATTGCATTAAACTTGTAAATAAAATATATATTTTTTACATGTCTTGATGTCTTCTGTGTCCGTGCCGTTAGTTCTGATAATCGACAATTTCGTAAACCGATAATGAAGTTTTTGTCTGTTATTCTGCAGTAACTTAAAAATTTTCCTTTAACGCAATTAATTAAATTGAGATCGCTAACTAACGGTAACTTTAAAAAGAACGGAAAATGCTGTTAACACGCAGTTTTGTTCTTACCCTCTACAGTCTACAACTAACGGCTACCTGAGATTTTATTTTTAAAACGGTCGGAACTAACCAGTAACGAAACGGCTTTTACAGAAGCTGGAACGTGCCTATCCCTAATTTTTTTACGATTTGTGTATTCTACATTTTCCTACATTTTGTCCTACATTTGTCAGTCCTACTTTTTTTCTGATTAACATTTGTCTGGTTTAAGTTTGGCCTGTCCTATATTTAATCTGCCCTACATTCGTCTTGGTCTACATTTGTATTGTTCTACATTTGTCCTGATCTACATTTGTATTGTCCTACATTTTTCCAGTCCTACAATTTTTCTGTTAGAAATTTTCATGTCCTTTAAATTTCCCTATCTACATTTATCTGCATTACATATTTCTGTTCTACATTTGTCTGTTTTACGCTGTCCCTGTTTACATTTTCCTGTCCTACTTGAGTCATATCTTACATTTTTCCTGTCCTGCATCTGTCCTGCCATGAATGTCTGTCTGTCTGTCTGTCCCACGTTTGATTGAATTTTTTATTAAATCTATCTTTCTCGTTTTTCATAACTTTTATTTTCTAAAAATCTGTTTTTACAATATATATATCAATATGTTTTTTTTCAACCATAGATTGATTGTAAACTACCAAATTGCATTATGAAGAAATCATAGCTCAGGAAAATCCTTTCGTTCCTTCGATTGCTATTCCGTAACCGGATATTTAGTTAGTTTTCCTTATATAAAAGGTGAAAATATTCAATCGAAAACGTTAAATTCTTAAAATGTAAAAATTAATATTTAGTCGGTGATATAAAAAAAATTAAAGATAGAGCGATATTTAAAGTTTAATCAAACTTGTTTATATGTGAATCAAACACCGAGTAATCTATTCTCTGTGAGTGTGTTATCAAAAGATACACCAACGAGATTATAGTATATAGAGTGATGAGGTACGCTATTCCTTAACTAATTTTATAGGCCATAAACTATACCGAGAGCGTACTGCATTTGTGTTTATTATAAGTTGATTCTGACCTAACCTATAGTATATCAATATTAGTGAACAGTTGTAAGTGAACAGTTGTAAGTGAACGTCATTCTAAAGTTTTCAGCTCAGTACAGCTAACTAAGCACACAGGTAGAAAACTATCATCCCCCCCTGCCTTGAACCAATAAAAAGCATAAAACAATAGATAAGAAGTTAGGAAGATTATGGTATTAGGAAAATAAGATATTATATGTAAAGATTATGATGTTAGGAAGATTTAAGACGAGTGATGAAGATTTAAACAATAAATAATGTTAGGAAGTGCTAAAACAGGTTTAAGATTGAACAACTATTGCTCAGGGGATTTGAACTTTTAAGAATTTATTTTTACTTTTTAAACCCGATGGTTTGAGTACACCTAATACCCACATGATCAACTGCAAGTCAATGCATTGGAAAGGTCCAAGTGCTTGAGGGGTAGAATATAAAATACCCCCAACCTTCTATAAACAGTGGTATTTTTTTAGGTTCGATGTTGAAATATTGTATTTCAGTTTGAGAGTCTGTTTAATCATACAGGGATACGTTGGCAACCTAATCAGTCCTTTTGGATATTAATTAGGAGCATACATGATTTAACATAAAGGGAGGGAGCGGCAATTTATAGTAGTTGATCTGAGAATGTAGTAGTGTGGAGAAGTTTTTTAGGATTCATTTGAGACATATTAAAAGTGTTAATGATGTATAATTACTAAGTTTGAGCGCAAAATCGACGTTTAAAATCATCCATTTGGGTTGTTACGTTTAAGAATCGATTTTTTTGAATTTTTAAATTACAACGACGAAAAATGTATAAAAAATTCTTCAACAGTACACTAATTAGATGTTTGGGAATATATTTCTCAATAGAAATTTGTCAAAAAATCAATGTTAGAACCAATTATTTCTTTTTCATCATTAAATTGAATTTCTTATTTCTTACGAATTTGTTCGCAGATTTCTACAAATTCTTTAAATGTCGTCTTTTCAATAAAAATTCCAGAAAATCTACAAAAAATGTTTGTGAACACTGAGAGATTAGAGAAACCAATAACTAAATAAGATTACTTATTTTTGATGATAAGAGTTATTTTCTTAACCTGTTCCTAGACAACTTATCAGTTTACTGTAGAACTTTCGTTACATTTTTTGTCTTCGTTATTCAATTTTTTTTTTTAAAGCGATTCTTAAAATGTAACTACCAAAATTAATGATTTTGAAAGTCGACTTTGCACTCAAACTCAGTAATTATACATCATTAAAACGTTTTATATGTTTCAAATGAATCCTAAAAAATTTCTCCACAATACTACATTCTCAGTCCAACCACCAATCATTGCAGGTCACTCCCTTTAAAGTAAACCGTAGACATGACCCTTCAGTTAAAAAGTGGAATATCAAATTCACAACTGTACTGTTTCAGCAAGAAAAATAAAGATATTTATTCATTCTTGAAAAATCTTAAAGGTTTAAAAGTTGAATCGGACATTCCACACTGTAAAAATTAGAGTATTTGTGGTAAACACGTTTACGATATTTTGTCTTTACGTTCAAATGCTAATAATCATTTCCTTGTGTGTGCCCTGTAAAGTTTAGGTTTTACATTCTAGAAGTTGCTCCTGTGAGTTTACAGGGGAGATGATAAGCTCCCATAGGTTTCATTAGCAACTGTGTTTAATTTGATAATTTTTTTATTATTAATTGAGCAGATATATCACTATTTATTACATCATTTATATTGTTTTTTCATGCATAAAGAAGATCACTGAATCACATTTGTTATTAAGAATCGAGTAATTTTTCAAAACCTCAAAATATTAAAAGTATATAGTGTGTACCAAAAAAACTATTGTGGTTTAATTCATGGCTTTGTTTAACGTGTCTGAGGTTTAAACTTTTATATTAATTAATCAACATCGCTTTGATTTGATATCGCACGATGTAAACTTTTGATGTGCAGCGCTTACATGCTTTATTCGTGAAGAACAGCTGACACGCACTTAAGAAATTTGACCAATAGCAGTTTTTTTTGTGGCTTCTGATTAATCGAATCCTCATAGATTCAAAAGGTACATACACAATCCGGTGCAGATGATCAATACAAAAGTTCCTCGACCTCTGATCGATTAAATGGAACCCTTTTTTCAAAACGTTTTTTTTTCAAAATTCTGAATTATTTTATATAAAATATATAACTGTAAGCTTGTAAGCTTCCCAAGTCACGGTTTTAATTTTTAAAGTTATTAATTCAAAACGTTTTAAATTTTCTTAATAGTATGAAGATTCTAGAGTTTTTTTATATTCCTATAACGCCCCTGAGTAAATATTCTAAACTATTGATGGAATTGGAACGCCCCTGTAGTGTTCTGAGAATAGAAGAGATAAATAACACAGAGAAGGGTTGCAAGTATAAGGAAACCTAAAAAATGTAAAATTAGAAAGAAAAATTATTAATTATTCTCCGTTTTAAAGGGACTGTTGATTTAATTCCACGTGACCCTTCATTCACAACCATTTCCTTCATTCTGTAGAGAAACTATAATTAAAAATAATCAAATTTCCTTCAAAAAAACAATGATAACTTATTCATCTTTCTAAATGAAGGGTCACTTGAAATTCCTTTAAATTGGCACTTTCGCAGAATCCCAGATATATGAATACAAAGCAGGAGTTTTATATAATGTCGTATTCTCAAGCTATGTAATATCAAATGCTGCGGAAAAAAACGAGTTTACTACAGTGAAAACTATAAAACTCTGGAATAAAGGATGACTTTTAAAATCAAATTATGACTTTATAAAGTCCAATGAACACAGCAGTTGTGGAATTATAAATAGACCCATTTCCCTTAAAAAGTGATTTAACTAGTAAAGACATTTTCTTTGTATCAACATCAAATGCACTTCAGTATTTTTTTTATGTCGTCTTCCAATTCTACAGTTTTCTGGTTGACTGTTCTGAATAGTTCAGGACTTTTAATTTACAGCTTAGGTTAAAAATAAAAAACAGTTTGTTAAAACTATCAAAAAACTGATATTTGTTTTTTCATAAATCGAATTCAACCCTGCGAAAATTTCAGCAGCTATCCGCTGCCGTGCATTATAAAATGAATTTCAAGACGACATTTCATGCGCTCTTGCTTTGAATTCTTATATGTGAGATTGACTGTATATTTTTACTTACTTGTAAATATTTGATCTGCTTTAGAAATTTCCTTCGTCACAGCCTCATAGTTCACAGTTCTAAACATGATAGCTCAGGTTATTGGTCATGATGGTCGTTATTGGCTAGTTTTTTCTTTATATTTTCTTTTGCTTAGGATAAAATTATTGAAAAGTTTCATCAAAGCAATCTTTACCAGAAAGTTTTATTGCTAAATGTTTTTTGTTATGTTTTTACACACAAACAAAAAATGTTGGATTGCATATTATTAAGCAGTCTAAGTAAGGACAAATAAAAATAAATAAAACCATTTCGTAATATTGAGAAATATCTTAATTCAATACGTTATGTATGTGACACTGACCAGTGACCATCCTACACTTTGCCCTGACTACACCTTACACGTTTAATAGATAAGGGTTTACAGCCAAAGAACATAAGAAACAAGTAAAAAAAATGCAATACCAATAGTACGCATGAATTTATTTTCACAGATTTTGCTATATTTTCGAATTTATGAGTAAATTAAAAACCCTAAACGATTATCAGGACAAAGGAATTGAGTCTTTTTCACAAACTCTGATTTCCAATTCCAATATCTTTGCCGTCGATCTTTCAAACTTTCAAAGTACGAAATCTGTTGGATCTTAACAATCTAAGGTTAAAATATCAAAGATTAAAAAAATTTTGTTTGTTTGTGTCAAAAAATCAATTCACGTATTAAATCTCATACGTTTATTCAAAATAATCGTATAGACTCAAATCTGCAGTACACAGTTTGTTTACTTCAGGGAACAGGTTTACTTACTCCGATGTATCATTGCTTGCGTCACTGCAGTACACTTCATTATCTATCCTTCGGTGGTCATCATCCTAATACAAACATTATAAATATAAGATAAAACTAATTAAAACGAACCATAAATAAAGCGGAAGTGGAAGCGGAAGTGAAAGCGGAAGTGGACTCGGAAGTGGAAGCGGGATCGAGGGTTAACACCAAAAAAAAACGATATAAAGTAAAGTGAACCAAAAAACCGTGATTTTATCGCTTTCTTTTTTTTTGTTTTAAGAAAGGATCCATGGGTAAGGCTACAAATACAATGTGTAAAAGAACATTTTTTGGGGACACCCTGTACATTTTTCAGAAATGTACCAATTGCAACAATTACAGATTACAAAATCAGATTCGTACAAAAACAAGCGATTCAGGAGAAAATATTTTAAAACCTCCAAAAATAGAGGTTGTGGGAATATTTCCCCCCAATTCTAAGAAAATATAAAAATAGAAATCACAGGAAAAGTAAAATGTTAAAATTTTAGGGTATTAAGTTCGGTAAAAAAGGGTCTTGATATCAAAATCACCTCGGGCTATATTCAATATGCAGATGCATAGAAGAAAAGTCCTTTTTTTAAGAGACGTCTCAGATTTGACCTTATATTTACAAAACTTTTTTTCTTGATTTTTTGTTTTTTTTTCCTTCGGATTTATTTTCTTCATGACTTTAAATCCTGAGATCTTATTTCCTGAGATTTTATTTGCAGCCCCCATATTATTATATTTGCAGCCCCATATTATTATATTTGCAGCCCCCATATTATTATATTTGCAGCCCCCATATTATTATATTTGCAGATTTGCAGTGCATTTTGTCCAAGGACTTCAGAAAATTGGGAATTTTTACCAAAGTTTTTATTTCCAGGTTTTTTTTCAAGAAATTTTCTTACATAGATTCATAAAGTGCACATGTCTTAGGTTACAAAAATATACAGTGATAACCATAAAACAATGGAATAGGAAGACGGCATTATCTAGTATTACGTTAATAAATTTGATGTTGTTTCAAAGTAAATAGTTTGATTAAACACTTATCAAATCACTAATTTGGTGAAATAGGTCTGTTTACACTGCACAATTGAGTTGTCTCATGCTAATTAGACTTTTAAAGTTCTAATTTGATTCTAAAAGTCGTCTTCCTATTTCAGAGTTTTCTGGTTATCACTGTATGATAGAGGTAGTGACACTTAAATATCTTGAAAATTACAACTTTTCATAGCAGTCTGTATCTCTTTGTATTAAGATTCATAATAAAGATAATTTTTTAAACAAATTATATTTTATATTATTTTTTATTAGTTTCCTTAATGAATTTAATATTATAATATAAAACTCGTAAATAGTGTCAACAGAAAAAATATTTTTTTTAAGTAGTTGTGATTTCGCAGAAATATCAGACTGCTAAAATGGAGTAACATAAACATTTGTTCTCTTTAAAATGGAGTAACATAAAGATTTATTCTCTGTAAAATGGAGTAACATAAAGATTTGTTTTCCCTAAAATGTAGTAATATAAAGATTTGTTCTCTCTAAAATGGAGTAACATAAAGATTTGTTCTCTCTAAAATGGAATAACATAAAGATTTTTTCTCTCTAAAATGGAGTAACATAAAGATTTGTTCTCTCTAAAATGGAGTAACATAAAGATTTGTTCTCTCTAAAGTAGAAAAGAATAGATGAGAACGATTAAATAGTTGAGATGTCGCCTTCACATGTCAAAAATCCTAGAATTTGGATTGAATATTTTCAAAAGTTAAACTCCTCATAAAAACATTATGATATTTGAATCACCAAAATAAACTATTATGATGTTTAAATTTTCATTTAAAAATATATTTGACTGATTATAACGAGTTGATTGGTATAATCAGTAAATGTAAACGGACTCTCCGCTATTAGCAATATGCGTTCTACACTATTTCCTCCCCTGGACAATAGGGATAACTTTAAAATAAGTAGCATCGATCAAATCCAATATCGATTAAGATTCAGCCTTTAATATTTCTCGAACACTCCCTTTAATAATGTTGTATACGTGTATAATTACCAAGGAGTATGTAATATAATGGAGAAGGGATCGTCCCGGCCCGCCCTACCATATGATTTATACATGCTTTGCATCGACAGTACTTAATTTGAAAAAGTTTTGAAAGGTCGTCTTTCAATTTTTAAATGTCTGAAGAAGTATAATTACCCAGCAGCAGGGGGAGAACTGATGTTTAATGTGTTCTGAACAAGTATAATTACCCAGCAGCAGGGGGAGAACTGATGTTTAATGTGTTCTAAATTAAAGAAGTATAATTACCCAGCAGCAGGGGGAGAACTGATGTTTAATGTGTTCTGAAGAAGTATAATTACCCAGCAGCAGGGGGAGAACTTATGTTTAATGTGTTCTGAAGAAGTATAATTACCCAGCAGCAGGGGGAGAACTGATGAGAACTGATGTTTAATATGTTCTGAAGAAGTATAATTACCCAGCAGCAGGGAGAGAACTGATGTTTAATGTGTTCTGAAGAAGTATAATTACCCAGCAGCAGGGGGAGAACTGATGAGAACTGATGTTTAATATGTTCTGAAGAAGTATAATTACCCAGCAGCAGGGGGAGAACTGATGTTTAATGTGTTCTAAATTAAAGAAGTATAATTACCCAGCAGCAGGGAGAGAACTGATGTTTAATATGTTCTGAAGAAGTATAATTACCCAGCAGCAGGGGGAGAACTGATGTTTAATGTGTTCTGAAGAAGTATAATTACCCAGCAGCAGGGGGAGAACTTATGTTTAATGTGTTCTGAAGAAGTATAATTACCCAGCAGCAGGGAGAGAACTGATGTTTAATGTGTTCTGAAGAAGTATAATTACCCAGCAGCAGGGAGAGAACTGATGTTTAAGGTGTTCTGAAGCAGAAAGGGAGGAGGAGAGTGCCAGGTTTGGGACTTCAAAACTTATCCCACAATCATCATCATTATAACCTATATTAATAGTAATAAAGTGAGTATATACCTTGGGACCAATAAAACTCTGGAATATGAAGACGACATTTAAATTTTTCAGTTTTTAATGTCAATACTTACATAAATATTTTTTTTAATATGGTTCTTTGATACTTTCGTTCACAAGGCCACATGTTTTCTAACTTTACAGGAAATCAAAACATAATTTTTTTCACATACATGCTTGCTTATTAGTTATGCTTATGACAATTTTTGAATAACGAAATAATTTTGTTATTTATATTTTATATTATCTTTCATTTACTATATTTATCATATTCTATTTTATTTTTTACATTTTTTGTAATTTTTTTATTGTTATTGTTATTGTTATTGTTATTGTTATTGTTATTGTTATTGTTATTGTTATTGTTATTTTATTTTCAATTATACCTGAATTATCTGAAAATAGTTGTAAAGGGTTTTCTCTAATATTCAACTTTCCATTGTTCTGCCCATTAGTGATGTCTAAACATTTTTATTGAAATATGAATTTATGATAAGTTCTGAACCAAAATTTATCATTTTTATTGAAATATGAATGTATGTGGTAAGTTCTAAACCAAAAATTTATCATTTTTATTGAAATATGAATTTATGTGGTAAGTTCTAAACCAAAACTTATCATTTTTATTGAAATATGAATTTATGATAAGTTCTGAACCAAAATTTATCATTTTTATTGAAATATGAATGTATGTGGTAAGTTCTAAACCAAAACTTATCATTTTTATTGAAATATGAATTTATGATAAGTTCTGAACCAAAATTTATCATTTTTATTGAAATATAAATTTATGATAAGTTCTGAACCAAAATATATCATTTTTTATTGAAATATGAATTTATGATAAGTTCTGAACCAAAATATATCATTTTTATTGAAATATGAATTTATGATAAGTTCTGAACCAAAATTTATCATTTTTATTGAAATATGAATTTATGATAAGTTCTGAACCAAAATATATCATTTTTATTGAAATATGAATTTATGATAAGTTCTGAACCAAAATATATCATTTTTATTGAAATATGAATTTATGATAAGTTCTGAACCAAGATATATCATTTTTATTGAAATATGAATTTATGATAAGTTCTGAACCAAAATATATCATTTTTATTGAAATATGAATTTATGATAAGTTCTGAACCAAAATTTATCATTTTTATTATTGCAATTTAAAAATTTGTGTAATTTACCAGTCCTAATTTCGCCTTTTCAACTTTAGCGGACACTAGTAAAATGTATAGGTTTTAAGATAAATTTATTTGTACAAAAATCTAACGTTTCAGGGTTCTCCTGGGTACCTTATGTAAAATATTTACGAAGAGAACGTAATAATTGGCGTACATCCTAAAAGATAATTGAGTATTTGAGTTTTGCCCCTGTATTACTATGTAAATTCTCATCTAATAATTCCGTATTCCCAATTTTCTAACAATTGCTCTTAAAACACAATTACTAAACTGAACAAATGAACTATAATGTCGGATTCTACAGGTCATTGGCAGACATAAAGTATTATTCTTCAAAGCTCTAAAATTGGTAGGATATCAGGGGAAATAAGCATTGAAAATATTATCTTGAGGATAAAACGATGACAAATCGTGGTTTTCTGGTACGTTTTTCCAATTATTGATTGAAACATTCAAGATTATAGACAATACTTCAAGAGTGCAAAACATACCAGTCTTACTGCAGGATCCGACCCTATGTTTTATTTCTTCAGTTTAGCCCTAAATGGTTTAAATGGTTTTTTATAATCAATTGACAAAAACACAGGATTACGGAATAATTATTTGAGTATTATAAAAGACAGGGGCAAAACCATGATACTCAATTATCTTTTAAGGCTTTACACCAAATAATTCGTTTTCTTCATGAATCTGTTATCTAAGGTACCATTATTTTTTTTATCAATATTTAGAATTAACATTTACAAAACATTGTAAACAACTAACCTATTAATAAATCATTATCATATTTGGTTGGTTTCAAAGCAGATTTCAATGGAACATCCTGATAGAAATATAGATTTAGAATCATAAATGGAACATCCTGATAGAAATACAGATTTCAATGGACCATCCTGATAGAAATATAGATTTAAAATCATAAATGCTATATAGTAGATCAACTGGTTTACAAAAGACCAAGTTTAATTTTCTAAACCGTTCATAACCGGTGTTAAAGGGAGGTTTAGCGAAAAGTGAACGTGGGTATAGGGCGGGCTGAATCTGTGGGCGTCAAAGAGAAGAAAATGGTTGAAAACCAACGAGGGTATAGTGTATAGAGTGATGATGTACGTTAATCAACGAGGTTATAGTGTATAGAGTGATGATGTACGCTAATCCATTACTAATTTTAAAGGCCATAAACTATACCGAGAGCGTACTGCATATTTGTTTATTATAAGTTGATTCTGGCCTAACCTATAGTATATCATTATTAGTAAACAGTTGTAAGTGTACAGTACAGCTAACTGAGCACACAGGTAGAGAACTATCATCCCCCCTGTTGAAAACGCTTGATGCCTAAGACCACAGAGCCCATGTAAATTTACTTAGTTACATTATTCCACTCAACCCGTAAATAATTCAATTACATTATCATTACAATACATAAATTTCGGATTTTACTCGGATCCGATTAACAAGAGTACCCTAGATGGATCCGATTAACAAAAGTACCCTAGATGGATCCGATTAACAAAAGTACCCTAGATGGATCCGATTAACAAAACTAACCTAGATAGATCCGATTAACAAGAGTACCCTAGATGGTTCCGATTAACAAGAGTACCCTAGATGGATCCGATTAACAAGAGTACCCTAAATGGATCCGATTAACAAGAGTACCCTAGATGGATCCGATTAACAAAAGTACCCTAGATGGATCATGTTACTAAGTTTAAAAACCTGTAAATGAGATATTGGATCACTGCTTAGTCTGTAATCCGTTTCTTCATTACTAAAAATAAAACTTTCAAAACTTAATAAATCTAGAATTTTCAATTATTTAATAAATTATGTTATTATTTACCCACTTTCTTTATATTATAGATTAACTAAATTTTAGCACTTCTCAAAATAAATAGTAAATTTTGAATAATTTTACCATTTTATTTCCCAATGTTTATTTCCTTTTTAAAGATTCGTTGCTTTTATAGATTTTTTTTTCTTCCTTTTTTCCTTTTTTATTTTTTATTTTCTTTTATTTTTGATTTGTTGAGCCGGTTCAAGTGAAATCAAACTTGGTTGCATTCAACTCAGTTGCAATCAAACACAATTGCAATGAGTAAGATTTCAATCATACTGATTGCAATCGTGTTTGATTGCAACTTAGTTGAATTGAATTGGTAACATTGCACTCGTACTGATTGCATTCAATTCAGTTGTAATCAAACACAATTGCAATACATGTTCAAGATACATTTTAAACCTTTGTGTGTGCTAAAGGGTAAATGAGACATATTCTTGTTTTTTCTCGCTGAAAGTTGCAACAAAGTTTGATTACAATGCAGTACAGTGCAGTACAGTGCAGTACAGTACAGTGCAGTGCAGTGCAGTGCAGTACAGTGCAGCCAAATTGATTGAAAATGAAAGTGTCCTGTCTTTAGTTTTTAAATGTTTACTTCATTTCTAATAATTTGTTTTCTTTATAAAATTTTACTTTATTTTTGATGACTTAACTTTCTATTCCAATAAGTTTTTTTCCTTTCTATTCCAATAAGTTTTTTTCCTTTCTATTCCAATAAGTTTTTTTCCTTTCTATTCCAATAAGTTTTTTTCCTTTCTATTCCAATAAGTTTTTTTCCTTTCTATTCCAATAAGTTTTTTTCCTTTCTATTCCAATAAGTTTTTTTCCTTTCTATTGATTCAATCATTTCCTTTATAATTATGTCCTTTCTCTTCATCTGTTTACTCTCTAATTGTTTTTTTTCTTTCTAACATTTTATTTTCTTTCTGTTGATTTATTTCCTTTCCAACACTTATTTCTACTTAAGCAATTTATTTCCTTTCTGTTGATTTATTTACTTTCAAACTTTTTATTTCCTTTCTGTTGATTTATTTCCTTTCTAATAACTTATTTCCTTCCTTACTTTGTATTTCCTTTATATTGATTGTTTTCCTTACTATTCATTAATTCAATCTCTGATGAATTATTTCCTTTCATTGATTTTATTTCCTTTCTATTGATTTATTCAATCTCTAATGAACTATTTTCTTTCATTGATTTTTTTCCTTTCTTTTGATTTATTTAATCTCTAATGGCTTATTTCCTTTCTATTGTTTTTTTTTAATCTCTAATGACATATTTATTTTCTATTGATTCATTTAATCTCTACTGGCTTATTTCCTTACTATTGATTTTTTTCTTTTCAACTGATTTGTAATTTCCTTTTAATAATTATTTAATTACTAATGTTTTTCCTTTCTGATAATTAAGAAAGTTTTACTCCCTCTTTAGTAATGTTTTATTTACTTTCTATTTATTTATTTACTTTATTTACTTTCTTATTTAATTTCTCATGGTTTAAATCCTCTATAAAGTTTTATTCCCTGTCTAAAGTTTTATTCCCTTTCTACATTTTATTTCCATTATAAAGTTTATTTCCTTTCTAAAGATTATTTACATTCTAAAGTTTTTTTTCTTTTCTAAAGATTATTTCCATTCTAAAGTTTTATTTCCTTTCTAAAGATTATTTCCATTCTAAAGTCTTATTTTCTTTCTAAAGATTATTTCCTTTCTAAAGTTTTATTTCCTTGCTATAGTTTTATTTCCTTTCTAAAGTTGTATTCACTTTCTAAAGTTTTATTCCCTTTCTAAAGTTTTTTTCCATTATAAAGTTGTATTCACTTTCTAAAGTTTTATTCCCTTTCTAAAGTTTTTTTCCATTATAAAGTTTTATTTCCTGTCTAAAGTTTTACTTCCTTTCTAAAGATTATTTCCTTTCTTAAGTTTTATTTCCTTTCTAGAATTGAAACTCTTTTCTTCTTCTTTGCTTCCCTGCAGGTTTCTCCTAGCACTGTTTGTATCTAAAAGAATTAGCAATGGTTTAGGAAAATCTGGTTTAACATTCCCAATTCAATCGGGATTCAATCGGGATTCAATCGGGATTCAATTGGGAATATCATTGAATCCTTTGGGGTATGTTTTTTTAAATCCATATATATAGTGAGAACCAGAAATGTAAAGATACATATGTCATCTTAGCTATTCCTCATTGATGGGTTTGGATTTTTGAATTTGCAATTAATTGCTGTTTTATTAACATCTTTAAAAATGTTAAGTAAACTTTTAAAAATGGTTCAGTTTTAACTTAAAAAATCCTTTCGCAAAATTTCATATTTAGAGGAATAATAAAGACGACAAAAAACGCACTGAGTCCGAAATCAAAAAATTTGAGCCACGGCTTAAATTTTTAAAATTCGGAAATTCGGAAATTGGCTTATTTTTTATGCCTGGGATAAAGTAGAAAATGAGATCTTAAAGATCCCCGAAAGTGTGTTTACGATTCTTTTTGTTTATTGTTTACCTCTGTTTGTGTAATTGCGTTAGTAAAGTTGGTCCAGGCTTGCGGTACATTAGAGTTAGGGGATACAACGGGACTATCTGGAATATAGTAGAGTTAGGGGATACAGCAGCACTATATGGAATATATTAGAGTTAGGGGATACAGCAGGACTATATGGAATATATTAGAGTTAGGGGATACAACGGGACTATCTGGAATATAGTAGAGTTAGGGGATACAACGGGACCATCTGGAATATATTAGCGTTAGGGGATACAGCAGGACTATATGGAATATATTAGAGTTAGGGGACTATCTGGAATATATTAGAGTTAGGGGATACAGCAGGACTATATGGAATATATTAGAGTTAGGGGATACAGCAGGACTATGTGGAATATATTAGAGTTAGGGAATACAATAAAAATATCTACAATTTGACATGTTTTCTTTTTTCATTTATTTTGGTTTTGAACAGAAATTTCGTTATTTTTTTCTTTAAATCAGAAAGCAAACAACACGGTTTTCAGAGTAAAATTTACTTTAAAAGTTTAAAGATTGAATTGATTATTGATTAGCACTGATTCCTTTTTCCTTACAAGTTAGAAAGATATTGAGTTACAAGACAGAAAGAGAGCATGCGCGTAAATTCTTTGGGCCTCTTCCTCATGATTATTGTGAACGAAAAACCCCTAAATCTTGAAAAGACAACATTTAGTGTTTTGTCTGTATTGTTAATTTGTTATTAATCTAAAATTAAGATAGTTGTTAATTTTATCATTGTTAAAAATTGTGGAGCTTTTTTGTAATTTGTAGAAATGCTGTTAAAAGTGGATAAATTTGTTGCTATTTCCCGTGAATAATCTAGGATTGTTTAATGTCTTTTCCTTGAATTTTCTGTAGTTCGGTGTCTAGAAAGTTCATAAAGAATGTTCCCTGTTTTGTAAACATGCAATGTTTACAAAATTGACTTTACAAAAGGAAATTGCAGTTTTTTTGAAAATCAACTAAAACAAAATTTTTGGTCAAAAAGAAAAATAAGTGAAATTTCAAATTACTAGGCTTCGCGCCCATCTTCTATTTAAATTGTGAACATGTTCTTTTTGTTTACATTTTGAAACAAAGAAGAAAAAAATTTTGCGGATTTTTAAAAAAAATTCGCGGATTTTTAAAAAAAATTCGCGGATTTTCAAGAATTTAAATTTTTTTTACAAAATTAAAAACCATTTAAACACATTTTTTTAAATTTTTATAATTCATAAACCTTCCCTGTGGTCACGTGATGTCCCACAAAAATTTGGGCCCGATCGGTTCAGCCATTTTGACGTTTATTGGATACAAACAAAAAAAACGCCCAGACAAACTGACAAACAGACAGACAAGCCAAATTTATATATAGATAAGATCGCAAGCTAAAAATAAATCTTCTGTCTTCAATGTGATTATCCAATTTGATTTGGCAAAGAAAGAAAAAAGTTTATAATTGCAGGGAATAAAGAAACACACAGTTTACATTCCGAACAGTCGTCTTTGAAGTTTCATCCTTTGTGGGTAACCCTGTAGTTAATATAAAGGGATTAGACTTGAAAGTCGTCTTTGACATTTGAAATAGTTTGCAGCATTCATTTGGCAACCTTATTTTAGCAGCATTTTCCATGATCAATTATCACAAAATAACCCTAGTCCTACCATTTCAAAAATGTATTTTTTTGCTTTATAACTACAGAGACTTTGATGATTTTGTTCAGAGACAATTTTTTTTATTTAATTGAAATCTGTCAACAAATATCCTAATATTGTTGATAATTGGTACCGGAAAGAAATTAAATTTTGCATTCGGAATTTTTTAAAACTTCCTGAAAAATACAATGAGTTGTAGGCTGACTTTGCCAGAGTTTATACCAAACATTTAGAGGAAAATATTCAAATAAGTAGTTAAATAATTCCAAACCTTTAAGTGACTTGGGAATAATAAGTAAGTCAAAGTTTAAGTGTTGGAAATAATCAGTCAAAGTTTAAGCAAATAAGTAGTTAAATAATTCCAAACCTTTAAGTGACTTGGGAATAATAAGTAAGTCAAAGTTTAAGTGTTGGAAATAATCAGTCAAAGTTTAAGTGTTGGGAATAATCAGTCAAAGTTTAAGTGTTGGAAATAATCAGTCAAAGTTTAAGTGTTGGGAATAATCAGTCAAAGTTTAAGTGTTGGGAATAATCAGTCAAAGTTTAAGTGTTGGAAATAATCAGTCAAAGTTTAAGTGTTGGAAATAATCAGTCAAAGTTTAAGTGTTGGAAATAATCAGTCAAAGTTTAAGTGTTGGAAATAATCAGTCAAAGTTTAAGTGTTGGAAATAATCAGTCAAAGTTTAAGTGTTGGAAATAATCAGTCAAAGTTTAAGTGTTGGGAATAATAAAATGAAAAACCTTCATGTGAAGAAATATCACTGGTTTGACAATTATTTCTCAATTTCTCATTCCGACTTTGAAACAGATTCCTGAAACAGAAAGAATTAGAGTTTCTAATCAAAATCTTGAAACGAAAAAGTCATTCTTTCTATTTCTATTATTTTAATACTATGTTTTGAATTATAAAGACATCCTTCAAGTATGTGTTATTGATTTTGTTATAGAGTAAATAGTTTTACCAGTCTATTGAAAATTAACTATGTAAGTGAAATGGGTCTGTGTACACTGCACAATTGGTGTATTTCATTTCCTTGGACAGTAAAAAATGTATTTTTTCCTTCCTTATACGGGTCCCACTCCTCCTATGCCGGAATTTTGAAACAAATTTTTAAACAAAAAAAGTAAAGATCACAGCAAAAACATATTTCCCCAAATAATAACACAAGACGGTGGGACAAATAAATTTATTCAATTTAAATATCATAAAATTAATCATTTTTTAATCAAATCCGCGAAATATAAGGGGAAGCTTTGCCTGTAAAAAATGAAATCGTGAGTAAAAATGCAGGATAAAAATTCGCTGAAAAGGCAATAAAAAAATCTCCTCGATCATCATCAACTGCAAACTCTAACCAACCCACCTCATGGATCTAGTTGTTGAGTGTACCCGGAGCCAACTTCCTCCCTTGTCTCCTAGTAAACTATTCTTCTCTTCTCCAGCTTCCCAGCGGGATAAACCAACACACGAACCCTCAACAAACAAAATTGTCGTCTTCGTTTTCTCTTTTAATATAAAATTTTGCTCAGGATTTTTTTCTTCAATTATATTTTAAAATCACAAAAATGACAGACTTCATTTTGGAAATACTAGTTTGGCGAATTAATGCCACAAATTTTTACAAAGTTTTTAACACAGTCAGTCCATTTAAAAGTACAGAGCTTTTATAATGAAATTCTGAAACTGAAACCAAGTTGTGGAAAACAAGTATTAAAATGAAGAACAATAAACGGTCAAACAATCATAAAACAGTTATCTAATAAATTAAACATTATGAAAATGGAATCTGATACATTGAAAGGAAACAACTTTTTTATTTAAGTTATGATGTTTGCAATTGATTTTTTTCGAATAAAAAGTTTACACGCAAACAAACAGAATCGAAAGTCATCTTTATTGTATTGATATATGCGAAGACGACTGTAGTTACACAATGACAAAACATCGACTTTTACAGGAAAAAATCTGCAACGGAGTAGAAAATTATTGGTTTTTCTGAAATTTGCATTTTTTAGTTTTATTTTCTTTAATTTACTTTAACAAACTTTGAAATCTTAAATTCAATTTTAATTCAAATAAGAATAATTCTTTGAATCTGTAATACTAGAATCCTTTACAAATAATTTTAGTTTTCTAGTCTGTATAGCTTACTTTAGAGTCGGCCATGTTTTCCCCAGGTCCGCACCAGGATTTGCTGGAAACCAAACCAAGTGAAAGGGTCGTCTTTGATCCTGGCAGGTTGGAGTACGCTCCAAATCCGCCATTTTCTTCCTTTGAATAGTTTGTGTTAAAGGGACTGTAGTCGTAATTTTAAGTGACTCTGCATTTATTGAGTTCAAGTCACAATAATAATTAATAATAAAGAAAGGTACAGTCCGTTTATTGAGTTCAAGTCACAATAATAATTAATTTTCCCTACTTAGATAATTTAATCTTGTCTTTTTGAATTTAACAAAATCTTTGAATTTCTTTACCTCAGTTTTCCTCATTTTATGCTGAATGCAAACATCACTGGTGCTCAAAAGTCCTAAAAGAGAAAATTCTCACATACTCTTAATTATGATCCGGGAAAAACTTTTTTGTTGTGAATCTAAGGATCAGGCATTGATCCCCATAAATCAGGCAGAACAATCTTCTATTTGACGGGATGACCATACTTTAAAGGGATAACTTTAATTGGAGGATCAAGCATTGATCCTCCAATTTAAAATTTCCTACACTGGATATCGAGATCAAGCATAAAAGACAACAATATTCACAAAAAAGTTCCGATCTTCGGTTCTTCGGTGAATTTTGATAATCTTTTGGTTTCTTCTATTTAAAATCAAACGTATTTTTGTCTATATTTCAACAATCTTTTAGATTTGTTTATTCTATACTTTTTCATTCAAAATGTATGTGCCAACAAAAAAGTATCCAAAACAAAAGGCTAAAAGATTATGTTTAATGGGTCAAATGGGTCAAAATGGGTTAAATGGGTCAAATCGAAAGTCACAGCTTTCTGGAACATTGACAGAACCGTTAAATCCACGTGACTTAAGTTGCGTTAAACTATGAATTCTGTTCGATTTTGGTGACCAAAATATTGGGTGTGAGGCAAGAACTCAGTTACCTTTAATTTCGTGTACAATTTTCTTTTAANGTTCTAACAACTTTAATATTTTTTCAATTTTGAGTAAAATATTGTTGTTTTCAACAAGAACGGAAACAGTGCAATTTCCAGCCATGATCTTTAGTCAACAAGGTTTTTATTTCAAGGGTTCAAGGTTTAGAAGTAAATATTTCTTTATTTATCCTCTAAAAGGGACTTATATTAAACAGTGGCATTTATAATAATGATAAAGTGTTTAATATTCAAAGAAAGTAAACTATTTATGTAGATATGCCATAATATTTTTAAAAAACTCAAAATTTTGAAACATTTTATCTTGCAACTTAATGGTGTAATCCTTTAATATTTTAAACTTATAGTTTATTTGATCCAACAAAGTTCATAGTTTAAAATATCTAAGGTATACGACATTGGGTTGCAAAGATATAAGGATTAGGAAATCAGAGTTTGTGGCAAAGACTTAATTCATTTATACAGTAAACCCCATAAAACAATGGAATTCTCTTACGCTTCTAATTATCTAAATAATGTAATTTGTCGCTAAATATTTTGTAATCTGGAATTTATAGAAAAGTGTCAATTGAACGTTTTAGAGATGTATCAGAATTTCAACTATTGAAAATTACAAATTATTTTGCGAAATGAAATTGAGAACAATGACGACTTTCATCAAACGTATTTTGGTTCGCCATTACTGTAGTTTCAGTTTCTAAACAAGACTTTACAGTTTGCAGATATTATTCTAAACTGGTTTATGATTTACTGCAAAATAATTGTATTTTTATTGACCATTACAACATCAAAAATTTCATAGTTTTCCAGTGTTATGCAGTATAAAAATGACCCTGCCCCTATTGAAGCCAAAAAAAACAAATCCAAGCCTGTTCAGTATACCTGTGAATGGAGTTAACATTTGGTACTGCATTTATAAAATCTAGAAAATGAAATAAAAAATTTAAATAATAATGCACAAAGGCTTAGATTAGTCTCCTAAAAAATGGAAATTAATCGAAACTGGCTGAAGTGTTATTTTCTAAATATTAAAAACATATCAAATTTCAATTTTGTAAATGAAATAATGATTCATTGTTTTAATGTTGAGAAAAAAGAATAATGTGTGTAACTATGTACAGAATAAAACTGATATGCATGACTTTTTGATTTTCATTAAAATCATATTCACAGCAAACCTTAAAACTTCGATGCTTAGAAACAAAAATGCAAATATCGTTTTCTGTCTGCTAGATAAACAGGAATACTAATTGCCATGTCAGATTCACAACGGTTCCTTTTAAGGATGAATGAGCTGTTGTGCTGCTTAGATAAAGTCTAACAGGGTACCGTTGTTAATCAGATATCTCTTTATAAATTTGGCTTGTCTGTCTGTTTGTCTGTCTGCTTGTATCCAATAAACGTCAAAACGGCTGAACCGATCGGGCCCAAATTTTTTGTGGGACATCTAGGGACCCCAGGGAAGGTTTATGAATGATTGAAATTTTAAATATTTGTCTCCATCAAAATTCGATCTTCATTAAATTTTTTAAAATTTTGAAAATCCACGAAATTTTTTGTGAAAATCCGCGAATTATTTTTGTTTTGTTTTACGATGTACACAAAGAGCACATGTTCACAATTAATTTATGCTAGTCTCTTTAAATGGAATTAAAAGACTAACTAGCTATTATTCAATCCTAGATCTGTTGTATCGTGTCAGTTTGATTGAAAACTGGTTTCTGGTTCAACAGAACATTATCGGATATTTCAGGGCAGTAAGTAATTAGATACTTTAGATCAAAATTAAAGATTAATCGCAATTTGTAAAACAAATTTTACATTTTTTTTATTCAACGATCATCTAGCAAAATTTAAATTTGTCTCTTTTTAAAAGTAGGATTCAATTTTAAGATTTATATTTTATCCCGTGTACTTAACAACTTGGAAATTGATACCAGCGAAAGGTTCTGTATCAAGAAAAGTGGGAATTCTGGTAGGTTATGTCAAACTTAAACTTTACGTTTTAAACTTTACACCTCTTCAAACTTAACTTTACACTAAAACTTTACATCTCTTCAAACTTAAATTTTACACTTTAACTTTACATTTCTTCAGACTTAAACTTTACAGTTAAAACTTTACATCTCTTCAAACTTAAATTTTACACTTAAAACTTTACATCTCTTCAAGCTTAAACTTTACAGTTAAAACTTTACATCTCTTCAAACCTAAACATTACACTTAATACTTTACATCTCTTTAAGCATAAACTTTTTGTTTTAAACTTTACCTCTCTTCAAACTTAACTTTACACTTTACACTTTACCTCTCTTCAAACTAAAACTTTATGTTTTAAACTTTACACCTCTTCAAACTTAACTTTACACTAAAACTTTACATCTCTTCAAACTTAAACTTTACACTAAAACTTTACATCTCTTCAAACTTAAACTTTATACTTTACAACATCTTCAAAACTTTAAACTTTACACTTTACACGATATTTAAACCTTAAACTTTACACTTTAAATCTTTTACAACCCCTTTTCAATCCTAAAATAAAAAACTGTCACTTTTTAAAAAAAAATTATAATTTATTTAACTAACTTATTTAATTTAATAATTTATTTAAGATTCAAATTAATTATTAGAGATTATTTGACCAACCAACCTGATCATTATATTGGATCTTGATCGTGTGAAATCTTAGGAAAAATTGAATTGTATTATAACTTCCTCACCCCCCTCACTTCTTCAAGTTTTATAAACTTTCTAGATCCGGCCTTTCTTAGTGTTCCACCTTTACTGGTGTATAATCTACTTATTTACACTCAAACTATCTTTTTATCTTTCTATCTTTTTATCTGTCTATTATGTCTATTTATTAACGCTCAAACTATCTTTCTATCTTTATAATATTATTTCTATCTTTCTATCTTTCTGTTATTTATTTACGCTCAAACTATCTATCTATCTTTCTATCTGTCTAATAGTCTATTTATTTACGCTCAAACTATATTTCTATCTTTCTAGTATTCTTTCTATCTTTCTATCTGTCTGTTATGCCTATTTATTTACGCTCAAACTATCTTTCTATCTTTATAATATTATTTATATCTTTCTATCTTTCTGTTATGTTTATTTTTTTACACTCAAACTATCTTCCTAGCTTTCTCTCATTCTAGTAAACTTTCGATCTTTTATTTCTATCTTCTTTATAATCTTTCCTTCTTTTTTTTCTTAAAAAATTTCTATATTTCTTTTGGTTTCTGTTTTTTTCCTTATCTCACTCATATTCTTTATGATAATCTATGCTTTTTTGCGCTCAAACTATCTTTCTAATGTTCTTCCTATCTTTCTATCTCTCTATCAGTCTTTTAATTGACTATGAGTTATTTGCCCTCAAACTATCCTTCATGGTTCTAAAATTCTTTCTAAATGTCTCTGTGTCTAGCTTTTTATGTTTCTAATAATCTACTTATTGACATTTAAACTATCTTTCTATAGTTTCAATCATTTTGATAACATTTCTATCTTTCAGTCTTTCTAATAATCTTTTTTTTGCAATCGTTGCATAACTTTCAAATTTAGGGCTGCACAACTTAACTGTGAAATTACTTTAGAAATTATGAGGAATGAAAATCTAAAGAATAACATTGCTACATTGGTAAAAGAGGGAAGGGAGGAGGGGGGTTCAATGGTTATTTATATCTTAAGGATTTTTAAAGGTTTATATTTGAATAGAAAAATGTCTCCAGTAGGTTCTTTCCATTCTTTATATATATCTGTCGTTACTATGGTTTATTTCGTTGTTAATCAATAAATACGATTTATATTTACACTTTTAACTTAAGTAATAAAAGTACAATGTCAAGTCTATGGAGACATGGTTACATTTATTTAATACTTTAATATTTCTGTTCTGAGGTGTAGTTTTTTAATTCGGAAGCCATTTTGCCATTTATCGAAAACATACAATCTAGAAAACTCTGGAATATGAAGACGACTTTAAGACTAAAGTAATGACTTTGGTTAGTCCGGTGAACATGAAACACGGCAATTGTGTAGTGTAAACAGACCTATTTCACTTAATAAGTGAATAAATAAATTACTATAAGTAAAATTACTTGCTTTGTAACAGTCTCAAATATACTTCAGTATTGCTTTAATGTCGTCTTCCTATTCTACAGTTTTCTGGTTCTCACTGTATTTATTGTATTTCTAATCATTAATGAAAGTAAATAATGAATTAAAACCAAGAAAATGAAAATTATGAGTCCGGTTCAAGACTTCAAGTTCTACTAACAAATTTATAAATAATTGCAATCTCCAATGATTTCAAAAGTAAACAAATTTAGAAAAAAATCTAAAATGTAAAAGTTTAGTTTAAAGATCGCACATAAAGGCGATAAAAAATAGGTTTTTCTAAATAAAGTTTAAACTTCCTTTTAGATTAAATTATTATTATTATAATAATCCTAATTATTTTTAATGATATCGTAAACATGTTTTACATCCTCCCTGGTCATGAAAGGCATTCTTGAAAGGTCGGAAAGGCCCGTGGACCAGAAATCATAAATATTTTAAAAGGCTTGAAGATAATTGACCTTCGGGGTTTAAGTAATTACAAGGATCAACATGAGGAACCAGCGAGACTGCTCATAAATAAATAAATAGATAAATAATTAAGGAATAATAAAAAACAAGTCAGTGGAAACTTTTGGAAAATTGGTTGACAAAAATGTTTTAGTTTTTAGTTTTTAAAAAATCGGAAAAGTATTTTTTGCTCGCTTTAACTTATAATTTCTTATCCTTCAAACTATCAATTCTGCATATATGATTAAATGGTACAAGATTGAAATGTAAAAGGTATCATCAGTTTGCAAAGATAAAGGGATGGAAAGTTTGAGTTTGAAACTTACGTTGAAAATAGCTTGAATTTTTATACCTTGACTTTTTTGCCTTTATAGATTTTAAACAACAATATGGAAATTATTAAAAAAATCACAGAAGGGATAAAAATTCCTTCTTCTATCTGTAAAATTTGCTTTGTTAATAAAAAATTTAGTGTTTTGTAAAAAATGAAATGAATTACGGTGTGCCCTGCTGAATGAAGTAATGTAGTGTATGGTAAGTAGTCTTGAAGCTCAATAAATCTGATTGCATGATTTCGACAAGTTGCATGCTCACTGTCATTTTAATCAAAGTTCCGCAGCAGAGAATAATAGGTAACAGGGAGTGGAGGAGAAGGAGAAGGAGGAGGAGAAGGAGAAGGAGGAGGAGGAAAAAGAAATGGAAAAAGTGTTAAGAAAAGAAAATTGTTGTAAAAGAATGAATATGTCGAGAATAGTTTTTTTTAATAAACGAGTTTACTAAACGATCGTTCAGTGAGAAAATTCAGATTTGGATTCATATTCAAGTTCAGCTTTATAGCTTCAGGTTCAGGTTCAGATTAAGATTTTATATACAGGGTGTCGCACGAAACATGACAATAGCAAGACGACTTGAACGTCGTCTTTGATTTTTGAATTTAGATAATCACAAAATACTCCTAGTCTTGGCATTTCCAAAATATGCTTTGCTTTTTTTTGCTTTCAATATTACCCAAGAAAAGAATAATTTTGGTTTTATTCAAGAAAATTAAAATCTGAATTTTAATATCTCCGATAATATTGACACTTAACGGCACTAAAAAGCAGACCACATTTTGGAAATACCAGGACTAGGAGAATTGTGTGGTTTATGTTTCAAGAACCATACATGGTTAAAGTAGGTTGATTCAGGTTCAGTTCGATTTGTTATTTAGGTTTATATATTCAGGTGTAAGTTCAGATTCAGATTTAGATTAAAGAGACAGTAAAGGAAAAATTAAAGGGGGTATAGGCTGAAAGCTAATCACTTTAGCTCTTGATCGCGCCCCATGAAAGTTTTATCTGATGTTCCTGTCTCGAGAAATTGATATAAAACTGTGTTATAATTATACAAAAATTCATGTATGTAAAATTTTGAAAATCTGAAACTTAAATCACATGACCAGAACTATCACCAATGGCAGAGCAGTATACTGGTCACGTGTATCCGCCTGTATCACGTGACCACTTTACTGCACTGCCATTGGTGGAATTTCTGGTCAAGTAATACGGACGTAAAAATAATATTATGAATGAAATCTATTGAAAATAGAAACAACAAATATAAAAGTAAACCTAAATTACAATTAGCTTTCTCTGGGATATCATCTTCCTCAGATTGGTTGCTGTTTTTCTGAGCATGGTCTGTTTAACCCTACTATTTCTATACGAAATTGTATATATATGCATTTTCGTACAAGTTTGAAACAGCTTTGTATCAACTCTCGAGTTAGGAAATTCAGATAGGCGTCTCAAGGGTCTCGATGAAAAGCTAAAGTGATTAGCTTTCAGCCTATTCCCCCTTTCATTTTTCCTTTACTGTCCCTTTAAGCTGTTCTGATTCAGATTTAGATTCAGGCTCAGATTCTGACGCCATGAGCCTCAGCTACGTAAACACGAGCCTAGGCTCCCAGATATGCTAGGTAGACCGAGCCTCCGCTATGCAGAAATGACCATGCGCAATACATCAAAATGTGCCTGTGAAATACAGGAGGTTTTTTTAAACTTGTATTTTAAGTTTAAATAAAAGATTTTTTTCAAATTTTTCGACATAGTGGAATTAGAGGTTTCTCAAAGATGAGAAGTATTTATCAATTATCATAAATAGTGCATAATTATGACTAATAAAGCAGTATATAAAACGTTAAACATTATTTCATGAAAAGGAAAATATTTAGAGAAAAAATATTTATTTGAATTGAATTTCATCTTTTTATGATCTTTGATTTAAGAATTAAACCTTTTTTTGTAGTTCAAATTAATTCTAGAAAATTTGTGTCAATATTTTAAAAAATCTGTTCTGTATGGTGGAGGCTCGTTTTCTGCATAGTGGAGGCCTAGTCTGTATAGCAAAAGCTTTGTCTGCATAGTGGAGGCCTAGTCTGCATAGTGGAGGCCTAGTCTGCATAGCAGAAGCTTTGTCTGCATATAGGAGGCCTAGTCTGCATAATGGAGGCCTAGTCTGCATAGCAGAAGCTTTGTCTGCATAGTGGAGGCCTAGTCAGCATATTGGAGGCCTAGTCTGCATAGCAGAAGCTTTGTCTGCATCTGGGAGGCTCAGTCTGCCTAGCAAATCTGGGAGGCTCATGTTACCCCCCTCGGACACCTGGTTCAGGTTTGGATACTTATAATGGTTCAAGATTTGACTTTTCTATTATAGGTATTCATATTTAGAATTAGTTTAAGTTTAAGTTTTAGATTCAGGATCAACTTCAGATTCAGTTTCAGATTCAGTTGTTCTGATTTTTTTTTCATAATAGCAATCAACTTCATTTTTAGTTTCAAATTCAAGTTCACGATTAGTTTCAAATTCAAGTTCAGCTATGTCGATTCAGCTGCTTGGTTTTGATTAGAATTGTGGATTGAGTTTCAGTTTTGAATTGCCATGATCATTATTATGGGACTAAATTGAGAATTAATTAGCAATGCAGTCCACCAGTGAAAAATTTATACACGAGCAGGGGCATAGTGGAAGTTTAGCCTAAGAGGTGGAATGTTTATAGCCTACGGGTTGCCCGAGTTTTTTTAAGCATCCCTTAAAACACTGTTCAGAAAAAAGGTTCAGTTTTAAACACTTTTATTAACCCTTTTAAGACACCTATTTTCAAATCCATTTTTCAAGGCTTTTCAAAAATGTAACTATTGCTTACTAGATCTGTCACTTAAATGACATGAAGTGTATGGGCTATCTATAACCCTGTTCCTGCTGGGGTACTTGAAAACTTCTTCACTTTTTTAAATTCATAAATCTGAACAAATTTTGCAAAAAAAATATTTGATGCATATGGTAGGGTGGAAGCCAGTCAAATGGCGGATAGGTTTTTTAAAAAAAATTAAGCTACAAATTGGTAACATTTATAAATTTAATAAGCCCTTGAAAATGGATATGCTAATATTTATGTACTTTTTTAACTTTTTTAAAATTCTGCTTTGCAACCTAAGCAAATTAAAGATAGAGGAGTAATTTTTTACTAGGGACATTATATCACATTCCCCTATCTCAACTCTACGAGCTAAATTATAGGAGAGACTAAAAAGCCCAACTGGGATCATGGCAAGTCAAAAAATGTCTATGGAAAGTTTATAGGAATTTAATCCTTTTTGTTAATTATAATGAAAACCACAGAACTTTTTCGAGTGGATCCATGGGGAAAGTATAGGCAGATTTTTTGCCAAATATTTTGCTATTCATTTGTATCACAAAGTTTAGCCATTACGGAGGCAGAAGAGATTTAAGTTTCACCTAAATAAAGTTTAAGACATCATTCCCATGGCTTTGAAGATTTCAACATGATGTAATTAATCCATGCAACACTAATTAGTATCCATATTGCCCAACGTGGGCTGAATTTTAAAAGACAGCTTTTATCTTCAAGAATTAGAAACTTAAAAACACATAATTAGCAAAGAACGAGGATTTCGAGGTGGCTCGGAGGAGAAAATGACTAATGAGGAGAATGTGGCTCGGACGAGAAATTGTTGTGGCTGGCCTTCCCCCCTCTTGGAGATAATCCAATAAACTAATTGTCGTCTTCTACAGAATATAAACAAAACTTTTGGGTTAGTTTATTTTATTGGTAGAAAAGCAGCAGCTGGATTTCAGTTAAATTTTCGTTACACAATGCACAATGTAGACACACACATTTAAGTTCTCACATGTGATAAGTTCAGTAAATCATGTGAATTATCAATCTCCCAATCTTGTTTGACGGGTTTCCCCCCCCATGCACGGTGGGGGGTATTTAGGGGGTCACGGGAAGTGACTGTTCTTGTCTCAATATACTCCTCTTAAAAATGCCTTTGTTCATTGTGTTTTATAGTCAGAGTAGCGTGCTGAAAAATCCCAAGTTTAGAAGTTTTTAATGAATTAACGAGTTTTCGATTGAAATTCTAAACTATATAAACATAATATTTAAACAACTTATACAGACTTCTCTCAAAAAAAAATTCTTAAGCGGCTAAGCCTTATTTGACATGAGGTTTATGGAATAAATTCATTTTGGCTGACTCCCCCATAATACCCCGTTGTGCCCCCCTCCCTCCCCGGTTTTTATTTGGATTGACCAATGAAAATGCGGGAACATTCCGTCTTACCAATCCCTATCTAGTTAGTAGATAGACAGATAGATAAGAAGATTTCCTGAATGAGTTGTAGAAATTTTAATCATTATCAAATCTTTAATCATTCTAGTGTTTGAATTTGTGGAATACCGAAAGAGGAAGGAGACCTTACGGAGACAACATGTTACCCCTCTTGGTTCTGTCATGGTAAGAGATCGAATAGTTTCGCAATTATAATTATATAAACTAATGTTATCTCACAGAATAATTATGAATACTGTACTGAGCGATTGGGCCTTTAATTTTGGTCATTTCTTAGAGAAGTAGTTTGGATTGTTCTCTCTGATCAGCTTATTGATGAACTATATCATAAACTATACTCTAGGTTAACCAGTTGTGCAGTATCTGGACTGAATTAGGTCTCTTCGAACAGTTCATTAATGAACTGAACAGCTGAATCTAATACTCTAGGTCAGCAGTGTAGCTGGACTGAACCATGTTCTCTCTGAACGGTTTATTGATGAACTGAACAGCTGAATCTAATAATCTAGGTTGATCAGCAGTGTAGCTGGACTGAACCATGTTCTCTCTGAACAGTTTATTAATGAACCGAACAGATGAATCTAATACTCTAAGTTTACCAGCAGTGTAGTTGGACTGAACCATGTTCTCTCTGAACAGTTTAGTGATGAACTGAACAGTTGAATCTAATACTCTAGGTTGATCAGCAGTGTAGCTGGACTGAACCATGTTCGCACTGAACAGTTTACTAATGAACTGAACAGCTGAAACTAATACTCTAAGTTTACCAGCAGTGTAGCTGGACTGAACCATGTTCGCACTGAACAGTTTACTAATGAACTGAACAGTTGAATCTAATACTCTAGGTTGATCAGCAGTGTAGCTGGACTGAACCATGTTCTCTCTGAACAGTTTATTGATGAACCGAACAGATCAATCTAATACTCTAGGTTTACCAGCAGTGTAGTTGGACTGAACCATGTTCGCACTGAACAGTTTACTAATGAACTGAACAGTTGAATCTAATACTCTAGGTTGATCAGCAGTGTAGCTGGACTGAACCATGTTCTCTCTGAACAGTTTATTAATGAGCTGAACAGCCTAAACTCTACCTGGGTGGCAGGGAGGAACTTTCATCCAGAAACCAGTCATAATTATCTTAGGAACTTATTATTATCCTTGAACCAATAAAATATATAGAAAGCTTTCATTATCAAAAATTCCTAAACAGACAAAAATTCCCAATAGTTTTCTTGAAAATACAGATATCCCTTTTTTCATATTAACAACAGAATTATAAATTTTAGTTTCAGTGTTAAATTAATTAATAATAAACAAGAGAATGTTTAATTAAGTTTAAGGAAAAATGGATAATCAAAGTTGATTTTTAGAACTTTGATGGGCGTACATCCTAACGCATACAAGTATTTGCCCAAACAAAAGGAATCAATTTTTTATTAAAAAAAAAAAATGTAATCAAAATAAGTTAAGTTCATATTTTTTTGTGCCCCCTCACCTTTCATGAAAATTATGCTAAATATAAAATTAAATGCATTTTTCTTTGGACTCGATTGGTTTGAAAATAAATGATTGATTGATTAGAATATTTTGCTTGGAGTAGAAGAAATACCTGAGAGCTTTGATCCCCGTGAGAAGTGGCCTGACTGCCCTACCCTGAGGGAGATCAGGGATCAGGTAGCAATATGTTACGTTGTATTAGAATTTACTCGGTTATAAATGGGAAAAACCGGTATTACTTCAAATTAAAGGGACTGTACAGGAAAAATAAAAGGGGGTATAGGCTGAAACCTAAGCATTTTAGTAGTTGATCGAGACCCATTTAAGTTCTATCTGATTTTCCTGTCTCTAAAAATTGATAAAAAAAAACTGACAAATTGATTCGAAAATTTAAATAAATAAAATTTCTATAAAAATCGTACTTTAAACAGATCATATTAGCTATACCCAACCAATCTGAAAACGACGATATCCCAGAGGAGCCTGAAATACTTATGTTTGCTCTAATTATGATTTTATAAATTCAATTTTTAATTTTAAAAGATATTTTTGATAGCAGTTTCAGGTGACCAGAACTCCCACCATTGGCCGTGCAGTATTTTTTTTTCACATGTCTCCGTCTGTATCATGTGACAAAGATACTGCACTGCCATTGGTGGGAGTTCAGGTCACGTGATAGGGACGGTTCAATTATATTATCAATTATATCAATTAAAGGTGAAAAATTGTTAAATTTAAATAATAATAGCTTCAACCTTTTCCTTTTCATTTGATTTCCTTTTATACATTTTTTAGAATTGGGGGGAAATTCCCACAATCTCGTTTTTTTTTTTAACATTTTTTCTACTGCAACACATTTCTCGTGACAGGAACATCAGATAGAACTCTTATGGGTCTCGATTAACTCCTAAAATGCTTTGGTTAAAGCCTATACCCCTTTCATTTTTCCTGTGCAGTCCATGTTAGTGCGAATCAGGACCCACAGAACCGTCAAAAAGAACTATACTAGATAATTATCAATTTACTCTCTTCAAAGAGTGGGATGTTTCCAGTTAAAAGTTTTGTCTGATCAAGAATTACTGCGATATACATGTTTATACTTAAAAAATTAATTATTTCCAATTGTGGTTCATCTATAAAATGAACTTGTAGAACTGCTACTGCCGAATTTCAAATTTTTCTGGCTAGAAGAAGATATATTTTCTACATTATTGAGCAAATAACGATACCGTTTTGATTGTTCCTTTTTTAAATGGAGGTTCGCTTGAAATTACAATTGTGTCCTTATGAATAGTTTTATCCTTGTTTTTAGGGTGGCTGTGGTTCTTGCTGGGCATTTGGAGCCGTTACTGCCATGTCTGACAGAATATGTATTCATTCAAATGGTAAATATTAGTTTATACATAAAACTTATAGATGATAGACCTTTAAAAAAAAATGTGCAATTTTTAAAGTCGATTTAAAATTCCTTGAAATTTTCCTTGACGTATGTTTATCAGCAATGGTTTTTTAAGGTTAAAAGGTTGCTTAGTCCCTCATTAACAACCTACTTTTTGAATTTTTTATCATACATAGCCTTAACTCTAGAGGGGATTAAAATCAATTAGTTTTGTTTATTCTAAACATTTTTTATTCAGGAAAAATGAACGCCCACGTCTCCTCCGAGAATCTACTCTCTTGCTGCTACTCATGCGGATTCGGTTGCAACGGAGGTATTTTTTCAGATCTCTTAGTTAAAACATTTTATTCTTTTAATAAAAATATTGATACATATGTCGGAAAAAGTATATTACAAAATTTAATATAAGATTCTTGCAGATCTCATCATCGTATAATTCTCGTATATGATAAGTTTAGTATCTTTACAGTAAATACAGAAATTATAAAGTTGAATTTGAATGAAATTACATCATATATCTAATGCTCATCGTGGCTTTAAACGTCCAAATGTTCAAGGACTAAAAGGTTTTTACGACCATCAAAATTTAGCCCATTTGTTCTCGTTATTTGTTGTACAATGAACAAAGGGTGAACTGGGAGTTTGGTTTTATGCAAAAAAAAACACCTTTTTATCAAGATATCGGGTTAAATCTTAATAGTTTGAGAATGGTTGAACCTCCGTAGTTTTGACAATCATTAGATAAGTTAATCTCATAAAGTTAGAAGAAAAACTCATTCCGTTAATTCAAAAATTCTTATCTTAGAATAAAAAAATTCCAGTATTTTTATTGAAGCTTTTTCTGTTTTCTTCAAGGGACTATGAGCGTAATCTCAAGAGTGAATCAGATATCCATGTTTTTTCTTTTTACTGCTTATTTTTGTTTGTGGTTTCCCTTCAAAAGGGACTCCCGCATTTCTTGCTTTTAGGAAAAAATGGAGAAATTGTCAGATTTAAACACTTTTTGAATCAGGAAAACGACATTATCGGGCATTGTCATCTTTGCAAGGAGAATCACACTTCAAATTACGCGTACAGTCCCTTGTAAGAGTTTTCTTAGTGGTTAAAAATCAGAAGTTATGACTAATCATTTGATAGGGTAATCTCTTGATATGTTAATCTCTTGATAGGTTAATCTCTTGATATAGGTTAATCTCTTGATAGAATAATCTCTTGATAGGTTTATCTCTTGATAGGTTAATCTCTTGATAGGTAATTCTCTTGATAGGTTAATCTCTTGATAGGTTAATCTCTTGATAGGTTTATCTCTTGATAGGTTAATCTCTTGATAGATTAATCTCTTGATAGGTTTATTTCTTGATAGGTTAATCTCTTGATAGGTTAATCTCTTCATAGGTTAATCTCTTCATAGGTTAATCTCTTCATATGTTAATCTCTTGATATGTTAATCTCTTGATATGTTAATCTCTTGATAGGTTAATCTCTTGACAAGTTAATCTCTTGATAGGTTAATCTCTTGATAGGTTAATCTCTTGATAGGTTAATCTCTTGATAGGTTTATCTCTTGATAGGTTAATCTCTTAAAGTCTCTAATAATTCAATGAATATTTTTTAGTGTCTATTTTTATCAAATAAATCATGATTAGAATCAGATCGGACATATTTCCAGATCTAACCAAGGAGAGAATGAGTTGAACTTGTTCCTTCTATTTAAAAGTTTCCATCCCTGGTTATTATTTAGGATTCCCTGGTGCTGCCTGGTCCTACTGGACTAAGAAAGGACTTGTTACCGGAGGAACCTACGGATCTGATCAGGTATAAACACTTCAGGTTTAAAGGAACTAATCAATAATGATGGACTTGGAAACTAACTTTTAAAATTATTCTGATGCTTTATTCTTTATATTTGCGCTTTTATTGTATAGCCGACATGTTAAAAAATATAGAAACATCGAATACTAAAATATCTGATTATTATCTAATATAATTATTATTCGTTATCCAACTACTATTTCATAATAACCAACACAATACAAACAGGGAACGATCTACTCTCTTGCAGTAAACAGTACAGAGTCTCTATATCAACTATTGTATTTGAGGTTTACAATATGTTACAAGTTTAAGTTAATCGACGTAAATACAATTCCTACATTGTTATCTATTTTACATGATTAAGACAATTATGTTAAGTATTTACAGCACAGTTAAAATAAGTGCAATTAAGATGTGCGTCATTAAATATCACATGATTAAGCTAATCATGCTATGTATTGATTTGAAGAGCAGTTCAAATAAATAATGGGTTTTACGTAGAAAGAAAGCGTAGAAAATTTAGAATGTACAACGTACTTCAGGTTTGCAGAATATCGTTAATACCCTGTAGGTTAATTATTTTAATATTGACACTGATAAACTGATAAACAATACTCAGGGTTGCCAGCCCTACCAAATCCAGCCATGTGAGCATCACGTAAACGGAACGAGACTACCCTGCTCTGAAGGCGGATCTACTCCTAAGTGCCACAAGTTCTGTGAGAACAAGGTGAAGTTCCAGGGGTATATATTTGAAAGAATTGCCCCTTCCTGGGGGGGGGGGGGAATACTCCAGGGAAAAAAGTTAAAAATTGAAATTTTTGATTCTATTATCATTTATTATTTATCAAGGTTTCTTAATTGACTTTTTAGTTTTTACGCCCATTTTGTTAATAAATTTTTAGAACTTTTTACACATGTTGAAATTATTAACGTTTACTCTTGCATAAAGTTAAAACAAATAAGAGCTTTGTTAATCTGATAGGACTACAAGGTAGATTACAACAAGGACAAGAGTTTTGGTGCCAGTAGCTACTCCATTAAACGTGACGTGAAGCAGATACAGCTGGAGCTGATGAACAACGGTCCTGTAGAAGCAGCATTTACCGTCTTCGAGGATTTCCCCAACTATAAGTCAGGTACATGGTTACCCAAAAAGATGAGACTTCAATGAAGACCTGAAACTTATTAAATATAGCGATCTGAAGATTAAATTTTGTTTTTGCTTCTTCAAATATAGCTTTTAAATAAGATAATTACTGATCAAAAAAGTAAGCAGCAAGGAAACGAGAGCGTAAGAAAAGGGACTTACTTTTCCTGTTCAGTTGTCTTTAAAGTCTCATCCTTTTTGGGTAACCCTGTGTGTTAGAGAGTTACGCTTATGCATCTAAATAGATTTTTGACTTTCAAAAAGTGGGGTCGAAAATTTTTATGATGTTTAAAAGCAACGTTTTTTTGGGAGCCACCTTGAAGCCAAAAATCATTTCTTAAGGATGAGACATCTAGAGATGACCCAGGTTTTAAACTTACAGTCATGGTTTCCTGCAGCTGGGCACTTTTTTTCTTTCCCCAAACCATCAGTTTACCTATAATGATTTAATGGTAGAAAATCAAATTCATTCTCAGCTTGCTTTTTAAGTCTCATCTTTTGTGAGATATTTAATTTTCCAACTTTTAGAAATATTATTTTTGGTGGACAATTATGATGAAATGTTGGATGTTTTTAAACAATTTCATGAGAGGCTCAGAGTTGTAAACTTTTAAATTAGATGGAGCTCAGCAAACTGAAACTTTTGAATTGTTAACAAAGTGGTTAAACGAGAGTTAGTACACATCCAACCAACCCTAGTTCTTGTCTCTACCCTGATAATCCTGTTCCTGGAGTCATAAAGTGTTATCATTAATCATTTCCATCGATTAAAAGATTTATTATCTGAACGATTTTTTTTCATTAATCATGATGAATGTAATCTAGGTGTTTACCAACATGTGTCTGGCAATGCGCTTGGCGGTCACGCAATCCGTATCCTCGGGTGGGGAGTAGAAGCTGGAACTCCATACTGGCATGTTGCCAACAGCTGGAACTACGACTGGGGTGATCAGGTCAGTACATAAATATATTAATGACATGTACCTGTAATGTGATTTCAGTAAGTTCGTTTTTGGCTCGTTTTTTTTGCATTTTCTTTCAGGTTCAAAATTTGGCAAAGCGTAATGAAGAGTAATTGTATAAAAAAATGTATTCTAAACATTTTCTATTCTTACCACACAGTTTCAACAAGAAAGACCCGGATTCTGGGTCTTTCTGATAATGACTAGGTTCGTAAAATTTTGACCCATCACAGAAAATAAACATCAAAAACGATCAAAAACTATGCAAAAACTATCGTGTTAAATCTAACGATTTTAGATCATTCTTCTCTTTTTTAGGATGAATGTATAAATGCTAGTTTTGATATCTTTTAAGTTTTTTTATACTTTTTTTATACCGATCCAAAACAATTCACAACATTACACGTACCGATGCTTCTGTCAAACTCAAATCAGACCGCCGCGTAGTAAAACAATTTAGTATTAATATATTTTGAGAGGAAGGTTTAAAACCAAAAGTTGCGCAGCTAGAATAAGAATTTTGGTTGCCTTTTAGGTCGGCTTACCCTATTTCGGTTTTCTTAGCATTGTTAACTAACAATACACGATTCACAACGGTACCCCTAAAATCTTTGAATAGATAAATAGATATCAATTTTATCAATTTGAAAATTGAATAGTTTCATTTGTGATTCCTCTACAAAAGTGAGTTGCACATTTCTAATGCAGGATAAGATTTAAACATTTTTCAAGCTGAGAAATGACAATATCTTCCACATTATTGATCAGATAAGGGTACCATTGTGAATTAGGTATTGCCATATTTGCATGGATGGTCACTTGAAATTACATCTTGATCTATTGAAAGTTATACCTTTCCGCTTGAATTCTGAGCGAAAAATCGGCTTTTTCTCCGGCCACAGTTGTCTTTGAAAAGACAGCGAATAGGCTGTTTAATTTATCCTCTAATTACCCAAATAAGTGAACGGTCCCTTTAAGTAAAACTTATTTTATTTTTAGGGAACCTTTAAGATCCTGAGAGGATCTGACCATTGCGGAATTGAAGGAAGTGTCGTGGCGGGATTACCCAAGCTTTAATCCTTCATTGATCCAATCTGAAAAGGATCAACGGACTGCCTAGTCTGTAATCCTTTAGATCGTAACTCTTCATTGATCCAATCTAGATAGGAGGTATGCCGCAGGAATGCCCCAGCTGTAATCCCTCAAACCCAATCTAGATTAATTTCTTTGTTCTACTAAAATACTCATTAATAACTCTATTTCTGATTTAAAATTAAATGTAAAACATGTTAATAAATTGCATGATAAAAAAAAGGGATTATTATTGTTAAGGGAATTGAGTATTTGTTTTGTTGTACAAATGAAAAGTGGTCGTTAAATTGGTTGGTGGGTTATAAACTGGTCAATTATGATTAAGCTTTATTCCCTCAGATGTAAACTTGTGTATTGGATACTCATAATCTCAATATCCACAGTGAGCACTCTTGAATTCTACGGAGAATCTGCTTGATCTCATGATATTTGATTTCCATAATTTCTCTTCTACTAGTTGAACGCAAAATTCCCTCGCTTTTTATTGGCTGTTTTTTTGTTTGGTTTGCCTTTTTTAGGGCTCTAGTTTAAAATTGTTAAACAGGGTCACCTACAGAGGATGAGACTGAAAGTGAACAACATGAAACTACAAGAAGACGATTCCTAACTTGAATAAAGTTTTCCGCAGATGAATAAGAATTTTTAAAAGATTATTCACTTCAAGCAAGTCTACGATTGCTTAGAATAATGAATAAAAAACATAAATTTTGTACATATGCTAAAGTTTCAACCTTTGTATGGTAACGAAGGTAACCCATGTATATGATCAAACTGATTATAATTTCTTAGGAAGGAGAGACTTATTTTAGAGTTACAAAAAAGCTGCATTTTGAATGTATACAGCATTTCATTTCAATTTTAAATTAGAATGCAGGAGGAACAGAAGAGTAAATGAATAATAATTTTGGAAAGGTTCTGTCGGTCAAAAAATTTGGTTCAGCTTAAATTCCTTCCTTCAGTCACCTCTAACTAATACCAATATATAAAGCCCATGGTAAACGTAAACTTTATCTTCCATGTACCCACCGTATACTTTAAAAGCAAAGAGCTTCATTAGAATATCGTCTTCGTTATCAGCTGTCCAAAGTGAGCCAATGCCGCGTCGCGTTCGGAATAAAGTCCATTTACAAAACTATCTCGAAAAATGGCGAGTGTTTCGAAAGGGAAAGATTAATAAAACTCGGTATTTCTCACCGTTCCAGTTAACAATTAAACATTACCATACTTATATTGACCAGGGTAGGAAATAAATTATCAGTTTCAAGTTTTTATATGTTTACTCGTTTTGAAGCGGTTTCATTGTCAACTTCTTTTTGTCTTCCTCTGAAAACACAATTCTGCTAACTTATCAGTAACATCCTGGTCTTTGGGCCACCCCGTCGTTGTTCCCCCCACCCCACAGCTATTTTTTTGTACAAAAATTCTGGGTCCGTCCTAGAGAACGATTTTTGGACACCCGGGCCCCCTTTTCCCCCGCTCCTACCAATTTTGTACATNTCGTCCAAAAATCGTTCTCTAGGAAATTACCTGAATCCTTAATATGTCTCAGCTGTGGCACACGGCCCCATAATGGGGTCCGTCCTAGTATACGTTTTTTGGGTTGCTAGAAGAAATTGTGATCATATTTTTATTATTATATAGATTTATTCACAAACAAAAATACAAATATATATATAAGTTATGTAGCTAAAATTTGTTTATATAAGTTTTTGAATATATAGTTCTACAAAAGAAAATGCAAAATTGTGCACACATAGGCGACATTGATCATTAATCATTACATAACATATTTATCATTTCAGTTATTACGTAATCATCGAATGCTTCAACAAATAAAATATTCGTTCTAGTATTTAAAAGTTCTTGTAAAACCGGAACTTTCCATACATGGTCCAATGGAAATCAAAATATTTCATTTGTTGCAATGATCTTTTACCGTCATGATCGTTGTCTCAGCATTGAGGTGGTCTACTGATGTCATTTTATCATTTTCATATGTTCCAACCTGGGGGGGGGGGGGGGGTCCAAAAAACGTTCTTAAGAAAAATTACCGAGAGCTACATATTATTTATTTTGAAACTAGGTTGTGCTTTAATAATTAATAAAATGTGTTTTAGCCACTGGAAATGAACGTAATCTTTAATCTTTCAGACCGTTCTTGTAAAGGACTAAAACGGAAAATGTCAATGGTGAAAATATTCTCCGTTGGGAGAACCTCTGCCCAACTTGTCAGGTTAGTTATAGCGTCTAATATTCTTATTTGTAAATATTTCATATATTTGGCACAGGGACACCCTCATGAAGTGCTTAGGATCCGTAGTTATGCGGATATGCGGATCCAAGGGGGAAAATACCATTCAAAAACTGTAACAAAAACTTTTCAACCGTTGAAAAAAGAGAAATAATTACAAATGATCCTCTCTCTTAATGGATCAGCGAGTTTTAGCACAAACATAAATCAATTAAAGAAATGTTCATGATCCGGATCCGTTTTAATTTCCAGAGCGGAAATGCATCAAAAATAAAATTGAGCTAATGCACTGCACTTTCTTTCTTCTTAAATAATAACAGATTTACATATTTTCATTCTGGTTGGTTTGTATCGGTTTATTCTGGTTGGTTTGTATCGGTTTATTCTGTTTGGTTTGTATCGGTTTATTCTGGTTGGTTTGTATCGGTTTATTCTGGTTGGTTTGTATCGGTTTATTCTGGTTGGTTTGTATCGGTTTATTCTGTCAGACCGAAATATATTTTCAATAAATGTGGAACTAACATCTACTTTTTTACTCTACAGAGGTTTGGTCCATCACCATCACTGAATTTTAAAGAAACCTTCATTATCTTGGCAAAAGGTTAAAAAGTACCTTTGTCCATCGAACATGTCATTTCATTATTGGGCGAGTCAGTTGAAAATATGTCTAAACTCTGTAGGCCTTTAAAGGGAGTGTTCGCGAAAAAATGACAGGGGGTATAGGCTTACGGCGAAAAATAACCGCTTTTGATTGCTACTAATCTTATTTCTATCTGTAGCGTCTATAAGGAGAAAATAGTTGATACGTTGATACGTTGATAGTTTCACCGCCAAGGTCCTGCATCATGCAAGAATGAAGTGGCGGGTCAGGTCATCATTTATTCTTCTAGATCCATGGCTGCATTTCTATGCTCATCATAACTGTTTTTAAAAGCATATAGGGTCATGGACCCCTTTACTGCCTCAGGCAGTTGGTTCCAGCTGAGTTAAAAACGCCTCATACCGAAGAACTTAGCGCGTCCATACAAATTCAGAAAGATGCAACATTCGACTCGGATCGTAAAAAATAAATTTAATTCCAAGCAAATCATTCAAATATTACAAACAATTTTCATCGATAATTGATATTTCTTTAGAATCTTTTATTTTTGATGATCTGAGAGTTACTTTTGAAAATATTTATTCCTGTTTCGAGGACTTTTGATAATCAAGACGACATTTTCATATTTTCCAGGAATTTTCCGAAATCAAGCTCCAGCGTATTATTGTTAAAAAAAACTAAACCAAAAATATTATGAAATATTAACTGTATACGAATGCGTCGATGACTATTGTTTGTAATATCCGAATGATTTGTTTGGAATTAAATTGATTATTTTACGATCCGAGTTGAATGTTGCAACTTTCCGAATTTGTATGGACGCTATGTTCTTCGTTATGAGTCTTTTTTAACAATTTTTTCCTGATAGACCCAACAAATAGAAGTAAGACTAGTAGCGATCAAAAGTGCTTATTTTTCGCCGTACGCCTATACCCCCTGTCATTTTTCGCAAATACTCCCTTTAAGTTTGTGGTTCTAGATCTAACCTCGGTTGTGTCCGGTATGCTAGTGGAGGAGATTATGTATACGTCAACCCACCTAAGGTATGATCTTTTTTTGTCTAGAGGGGTTGCAGGAGATTATTTTCTCACTTAACCCCCTTCAGTGGTAAAACAAACATTAAGAAGTCATTTTCAGGAGAAATTCCCCCTCTAAATCAATTTGTTAACATTAAAGATGCAAGATTTTTTAACCCCAAAGTTGAGCAACTATTTATTTCCCCCAAAGTATATTTATGGATGTAAAAACTTTTAAAATTAATATTTATCAGTTAACTTTAGCGCAATTAAATCTTTATTTTCCCTTATCATTAATTCCTTCACCCTTTCCTACTCTAATTATATTTGATTAGAAAAGTTACGCCAAAAATAGAAAATAATAATTATCTTGGCGTTTTCAGTTTTTATTTCTCTCTCCGAAGAAATTATCAATGTTTATTACTGGATTATTGGAAAAATTTTCGCTATGAGATCACTTTTGTGACATTTTCAGCGAATCAATTTATCTTTTTTGTTTTTACTGATAGTGCATTAAGTTAAACCAGGGATCTTGGCGCCCCTGACACCTTCACCAGGGATCTCGGCGCCCCTGACACCTATCACATTGAAGATATATATTTTTTATATTTTAGGTTGGACACCCCACATGGTCAGAATTAACAAACAAGGGAGCTAACAGTCTTATTCTGGGAGAAATAGGTAATTCACGTTATCTTTATATCTCTTTCATAATCAAAACTTTAGTTCTTTTCGAAACATTTTTCTGCTTTAAATGAGATGAAATTTCAAAATATAGTAATTTTAATGCCACCATGGTACAAATAGTTTTAAATGAATTGTTAACAAAGTTTTAATTGCCCCCATCGCCCCCCGCTATTTTAAAGAGCTTTTGGCAATTACGGTGCATTGATATGATAACTTGATAAACACGGGGTTTCTATTCTGTAACGAGAGGATTGTCCAGATTCACCCCTTGCGAAATATAAAACGTAGATTCATGAAAAAAATACTTTACGGATCTTTCATCTTTTTGGCACTTTTTAATTAAAGGATCACTTCCTTTAATCAGGGATTAGGATCCATTTAAATTTGATGCGGATCCGTACCCTGGATCCGCACTGGAAAAAAATGGATCCGGATCCATTTCTTTAAGATTTACTTAATTGTATTTAACAAAGCAGAATTGTCAAATTATTTTCTTCTTTTTTTTCTCGCTTATTTTTATGCTAAACCTTGATGACACATTCAGAGATCAGAAAATTTTTATATTTTTCTTTTTTCAAAAGTTTAGATTTGGGTTTATAGTTTTTTTTGGCATTTTTTGGTTGATATTTTGCCTCTTGAATCCGGATAAAGTAAGCCAAAATCTTACGGATCCGGATCCTAAGCACTACTTTTAATAATAAGTATGTATTCCCTAGCCCGAGGAATGGCGGTTACACTTGGACATATTTTCAAGGAGCCAGCAACTATTAATTATCCATTCGAGAAGGGACCTCTTTCCCCCAGGTTAACCATATATCTAGTTATTATTAGGGTTGTCTCTTTGTGACTAATAAACGTCAAAACGACTTAACCAATTGGGTCTTAGTTTTTTTGTGGCAACTCACAAGAACCAAAGGAAAGGTTATGGATTAAAGATTTAAACATTTTGCCCAGAAAAACTGTGCAATTTTTTTTTGTTGAAAATGTGCCAAATTAACTCACCCGCTAAATTTGATTTACAAAGAAAAATTGCAGTTTGAAGAGCAACGCTCGAAAGGTAAAATTGTTGTTAGAAAAGGTGCGTGAATCGACCTGAAACCCTCTTCTTTTCCTTTATTTTTTACATCTTGATGTAGCTAAAATGAGAAAGATTTTTCAAACTTTCATTTACTGGGAATAAAGACGTAATTTCTAGTGAACCTCCTTTTTTAAGAGTGGCATGTCCAATTCACAATGATTTGGTACCATTTAAAACATATTTAAAAAACAGTAAGGAATATATCGATATTTTTTATGACTTGAATTATTTTCTCAAAATATTATTGTCTTTGCAGAGATATCACAACTATAAATAATCAATATATAATATTAGATCTAATTAATCTTGATCAGACTAATGAACTGTTGTTAATAGAATTTAAAATTCGGTGATGCTGATGGACCAAACCTCTTTAGAGTAAAAAAGTAGATGTTAGTTCCACATTTATTGAAAATATATTTCGGCCTGGGTTGACCCTCGTCAGTTCTAACCATCAAAATCGATAAAAAAAATATAAAAAAATGTTTGTTAAAAATGACAAGAAAAGAAACAAACGAAAAAAATTATTCAAAATAAAAATTTGGGCTGTCAAATGGACATAAGGGAAACGAACTCAGATTATCAGATGGAAAAAAAGATAATTTGTTGTTAATAGGACATGCACATGACTTCATTATTGGTCAATTGTAATTACGTCTATTGTCCCTTCTATATTGATTTGTGAATCAATTATATGTATTATTATTCTCTAAGATTCCGTGGTGAGCATGCCCTGAGAAGATATGCTAGTGGTGAGGAACGTTGTATTGCCTGTAAACTTTGTGAAGCTGTTTGCCCAGCTCAGGTCAATAGTTTTTCTGTCTAGTGTTTATCCATCAATCTTTCTATCTACCTCTCTATCTACCTATCTATCTACCTATCTATCTATCTACCTATCTAACAACCTTTCTATCTATCTCTCTATCAATCTATTTTTCAACCTTTCTATCTACCTCTCTGTCTATCTTTCTATCTACCTATCTATCTATCTACCTCTCTATCTATCTATCTATCTATCTATCTATCTAACTAATTCTATCTTCCTGTTATTATCTAGCTAAATAAATGTCTGTTATCTTATATATGCTTATTAAGCTACTTGTTTTTCGTTAATATATATATAGTATGAGTTTGTGTGGAGCCTTCTTACTTATTTTAAGCTACAAGTTTTATAAATGTCATGAAATTTATTTCACATCTTTTTAACTCAAACTAGTTTTATTTCTTGAAGTTTATTCAACATAGTTCTATTAAAATTATTATTTAATATTTTTTTACTTTTTAATCTGATTAGGCCATAACTATTGAAGCTGAGGAGAGAGCGGATGGAGCTCGAAGAACAACTAGATACGATATTGACATGACCAAATGTATTTACTGCGGGTTCTGTCAGGAGGTAAATTTTCTTATTTTCTGATTGGGAATTTGATTTTTCTATACATTGATTATTTTTTTTAAAACTGATTGTTAATTGATGGATAAATATGATGATATTTGATTGATAGATAGATTAATATGGTGAAATTTGATTGATAGATAGATAAATATGGTGATATTTGATTGATAGATAGATAAATATGGTGATATTTGATTGATAGATAGATAAATATGGTGATATTTGATTGATGATGGATAAATATGGTGATATTTGATTGATGATAGATAAATATGATGATATTTGATTGATGATAGATAAATATGATGATATTTGATTGATGATAGATAAATTTGGTGATATTTGATTGATAGATAGATAAATATGGTGATATTTGATTGATAGATAGATAAATATGATGATATTTGATTGATAGATGGATAATTATGGTGATATTTGATTGATAGATAGATAAATATGGTGATATTTGAATTATGATAGATAAATATGGTGATATTTGATGGTTGATTGTCGATCGAAAATCATGATGATAATTGAAAGTGATCGATTGATTGATTTGATATATCTATCAATAATGATAAGAAGTACATGCATATTAAATCGGATTTGATTTGCTGGGGTTTTTATTGATTTGTTGATTATTAAAAGAATTGAGGATTGATTGATTGATTGATAAATTAATTGTTTGTTGAAATGTTCAGGCCTGCCCCGTGGATGCTATCGTTGAAGGCCCCAACTTTGAGTTCAGCACTGAGACCCACGAGGAGCTGCTCTACAACAAGGAGAAGCTGTTAAACAACGGGGACAAGTGGGAGGCAGAAATTGCTGCTAATATAGAGGCAGATTATCTTTATAGATAATCAGATTATCTACTGATAGATAATTATTATTTTTATTTTATGTAGTTCTTGAATATATTCCACCAGACTTGTATAATTACAGAGCAAATATGTGTTGACTGGCACGGATGGGATTTTCAAGTGTTGACTATGGAAGTACTGAAGACCACCAGTAAGTTTGAAAATAATGGGGTTTTCTCAATTTTAGTTTTTACTCCTTCGTTGAAACATTGAATTTATTTACTTTACATATTCTGAAGAAATACTTTTTCCCTGGATCTCTTCAAGTATGCGAGGAATTTTTATTGGAGTTTTCCAGTAAATGAGGGAAAATTATTTATGTTAGAGGATTTTAAATAAAAAAAAAGAGAAATNGTTAATTCTTGAAAATGAAATGTTATTTTTAGGTGGTTGTAAACATTAACTCTGAAAATCTTGACTCGAATAGAGTTTACCCTCTCCAAGTGAAAAAAACATCCTGGAATTGAAGTCCATCTACAAGATGTCCCCTCCTATTGTACCGGCCTTGGAGGATACACCATAAAAAATATCACCACACAATCAACATTTTTCTTTTTTTACTGTGACAAAGTCAGAAAAAAAATATATTCAAATAGCTCTTGAATTGGTTGTTTTTGCAGAAAAATGTCCTAAAATATGCCGCCAATCGTACTTTTCAACAAGGTATGGAGGGTTGCCTCAGATGATTTCGTTTATCCCTCCATTGTAGGTAAGTTAAGCTCTGTTACAAAAACAGGGTTCTAATTATGATTTGTTGTTAACCCTCCTTTATAAATCATGAATTGCCCCTGAAAAAAAAAATTTTTATGTAGAGATCCTGACCCGTGGAGGATGGGCGGTAGCTCTAGGGTTTGTTCTTGGATTCCATGTTCAGGAGTTAGATTCTCTTGTCTGCTTGGTAAGTGTTTAGTATTTCATATTTAGGAGTCAGATTTTCTTGTCTGTTTGGTAAGTGTTAAAAGTTTAGAAACTAGAATCCCTTTTTTTTTTTGAAGTATACAATGATTTTGATGGACCAAACCTCTGTTGAGTAAATATATAGTAGATATTAGTTACACACTTCTGAAAATATATTTCGGTCTGGGTTGAATCTTGTCACTGTTAGTTCTAACAATAACCAATAACCATCAAAATCGATAAATGTTAAAAAAAAACACAAAAACAATTTATTTAAAAAAGATGGTCTGACATATGGACAAAAGAGAAACGAACTCAGAACAAGATATGGAAAAAGATAATTTGCAAAGATTTAAAGAATGTTTTAACATAGTTAGTATTCCTTGAGATTGTTTCTGTCATGAAGATTAAAACAAACTGATAGTGTATGTGTATAAAGTGGTGATGGGGGTTAATCTAATTAACCAACTTTTACGTTTTTTTACAAAACTTAAATTCAACACAATCAGTTTTTTTACCTGTAAAATCTCCTAATTTGGTTTATTTTGTTTAGGGACGGGAGTATCGATACACTACTTCATACTTAATAGCTGCTCTAGTCATACAATTAGTTACATCAGGTATAATTAAATTTAGGAGAGAGGGGGGGGGATAATTTTTTTGGATAGATAGAAAATAAAAATTAAAGGTTGTGTTTGGTTTTATTAGTTCTTACTTAATTTGTCCTATTATCCCAACTTGTAAACCTCGTTTATGCTACTGCACCTCTATACTCTGTAGTTTGTTGAATAATAATAATACTAAATTATGTTTCTAGTGAACCTGGTATATCTTTGCTACTACAGCTCTCGGGGTAGAATATTCGATACTTCGGATCCTCATCCGCGTAGACTTATTAGGTTCTTTTAATACAAACATCCACGTAGACGTATTAGGTTCTTTTAATACAAATACAAACATCCATGTAGACTCATTAGGTTCTTTTAATACAAACTTCCACGTAGACTCATTAGGTTCTTTTAATACAATTACAAACATCCATGTAAACTCATTAGGTTCTTTTAATACAATTACTAACATCCATGTAGACTCATTAGGTTCTTTTAATACAAACATCCATGTAGACTTATTAGGTTCTTATAATACAAACATCCACGTATACTCATTAGGTTCTTATAATACAATCATCCACGTAGACTCATTAGGTTCTTATAATACAAATACAAACATCCACGTAGACTTATTAGGTTCTTATAATACAAACATCCACGTATACTCATTAGGTTCTTATAATACAAACATCCACGTAGACTTATTAGGTTCTTATAATACAATCATCCACGTAGACTCATTAGGTTCTTATAATACAAATACAAACATCCACGTAGACTCAATAGGTTCTTATAATACAAACATCCACGTATATTCTGAAATACGAATTATTGCTCGGCCCAGAAATTGTCCTAACCTACCCCTAAAATAATACAAAAAAACTTTAATTAATGGACATGTACAAAATTGATAGGAGGGGAGGCGGGGAAAAATCGTTCTCCAGGACAGACCCTTCATTTTGACCACTATAATTATGTAAAACCACTTAAGTCTCAAATTAAAAGTAACAAATAGTTGATGCATAATTTTCAAAAAATAATTTATATTTTAAAAATTGCCAACAAAAAGTTATTAAAAAGTTAACTTCTATAAGAGATGAGTAAGGATCATGTTAATGTATTATCAGTATTAATTCAGTAAAATCATCTACATCAACATCATACTTACATGCTTGGAATTCTCCCTAACCTGCTATGGAGCCTTCTTTGCTATCAAGGTTAGATTTTGCTGCTAGGCTCCTCTTTAAAAATTAGAGAACATGGAATAAACTTGATAAGTGCTTTGTTTTTTGTTTTAAAGTTAGCATACTTTTTATTCAAATACTTAGTAAGCTAAACGTTATAAAATCTAAGCATATTTTATGGTTATGTGAAAATTTTTGTTTTTAGGATTTGATGAGATGTATGTCAGAAGAGAGGTTTAGAGTGGTTATTATTATTATCATTGTAGTTATTCTCCTCACCTATATTCTTCTATTTATCAAGATGGCGCTAGCTATCACTACAATCAAGTAAATAAATAAATAATGATAATTTTTAGAATCAGACAAAGACAAACTATTATTTACTTTTTTATTCTGTTTTTTTTTTAAAGAATGTTGAGTATTGACCCTTTCAAACCATGGTTCCAATAATGTCTCACAATTGTCCCTTTACATCAGATTCGAAAAAACAGAAACAGATTTTGTAGCTTTTCCTTCCAAAATACTTTAAAAAAGCTGATTTTAATCTTTTGCTTGCTCGTCTTTGCTGCTTTTGTCCACAAGTTGAGTTCTTGAAATCTTACAATTTTTCAATCAAAGATATCTCCGGAATCAATACTTAGGTAAAGGTTTCAAGGTTCCTCTAATATTACGTTTATTATCTCTTTAAAGGAACTGTAATTTCAAGTATACCTCTCTCTCTCTCTCTCTATTATTTGTCTGATCAAGTATGCATTAGATAAATTCGCATACCTTTTGTTTTTGCACAAATTATTTGCTTAACTTAAATGGCAAAATATTAGAAATTTTGCTGGTTTCCAACTTTATTTTGCAAACCATTAAGAAGGACCCAAGGGCTTTCCAAATATTGTTTGTATCATAATTTTTATCATAAGGAATAAGTGTGGAGGTCAATGTTTATAATTTTGAAAATAGATAATTATCATTTGCTGGTTCCCTTCAAAATTGTCTTGATCATTTTAACTGTAGAAAAACATAAATTTTCAGAAATAAACACGAATAACATACAACAATATCTGCCATATAATTGATCAGAATTCATCTAGACCGTTTTCCTTAAATCTTGCCGAGGAGGAGCGACATCTTTTAGCAAATAGAGAACACGTCCAGCATAGGGAATCCCAGATCACTTACAGGTAGTGCATGTGATTGATTGATCGATTGATTGGTTGAGATGTAAATTGGGAAACTAAAAAATAGTTCAAATAAAATAATTAATTTATGTAAATTATTTAGTCACCACATTCATTTTCCAAGTTTTTTTTTTTACCATTATCCAATTGTAGATTTATCTAAATAAAATCCCAAATATATATTTTAAATCAACAAACACCATCTTTTTTAATTTAAAAATACTAGGCTTTGTATATATTCACAGATTTGATAAAAAGTTTCGTGATTTTCAAAAGTTAATTGAAATCAAATCTTATAGGCTATTTTTTAAAATTTTGATTTTCATAAACCTTCCTTGGGGTCATGTGGGGTCCAACAAAAAATTTGGGCCGTATCAGTTAAGTCGTGTTGAGGTTTTATTGGATACAAACAAACGAACCTGGCAGACAAGCACAATATATATTTAGATCTCTAATTTTTGTTTGTTGTAGAGGACTCCGATGTTTAATGCCGTGCTCCAACGACGAGGGAACAATTCAAGCATTTCAGGTATAGACTGTATAAAGCACAAATGCCGAAATTCTTATGTACTGTATATACCTAGTGTACACGCCTCCGGTTCGTTATTACTTACACACACTCTTTTGGTACAGACACACATACATGACGTTTCCACCCCCTGTCTTGAAAGCACAAGTTTTTTTTTGCAGTTTTTTGTTGATATTTTGACCCTTTGAGCAAGATCCATGGATTGGCTTTTTTGGCGGATCCGGATTACAAGCACTGGTGGAGGGGGTGAATTGAACTTATAAAAGCGGAGTAGAGGTTTGTAGGATAGAGGAGTGACGGAGTGTTTACTTTTTAGTATGAGATGTTTAAAAGTGTAAAAAAAGGAGTTTTAATGGACAATTTATTTTTTAGGATATTTCTGAGTTGTTTAGTAAAATATTCCATGATCATGATCTGGTTCCTTCAGATATACTGGCCGGGCTCCTTCTACTTCACTATAAACACAAGTAAAAATCAATTCAATCAATTTATCTATTTTTTTAAAAATCTAAATCAGTAGATCATGGTTAGTGAGTTGAGAAATCAATCTTTTGGCTGTAAATAATATAATTTAGCGCTTAAATAGGGTATCATTTTCTTTTTGTAATATTAACTTTTTTGATGTTGCGAACTTGGAAACCCTGACTTAATAATTTACGGAAATCATGACTTTTGACCATTTATCCTTTAATTGAGGCAAAATCTTCTGGGTTTGTGTCCCTGCATCGATTTTATTCATTAATTTGGTCTTAATCATAAACTTTCAAGAAAACCCTGCCTGGTTAAAAAATATTGTAAAAAGATGAGAACACCCCGAATTTTGTCTTTAAACTACAGTAACGTTTGACTTCAGAACTGAAAATAAACTTGATTTCTACAATTTCTTAAACATGGGTTTTCTCAATAATTGCTCCACAGTTATTTCTGATTTTAGGTTTTATATCTTCTTAATGCCTACCATAGATGCCTGAATTGACAAGACTAAAATGCCAGGCCAAAAATCCTGTAAGACCACAGTGACTATTCATTCGTAACACATGACAAACCTTTTGTTTAGGTTAGAGAAAGAGGTTGGATCTACTCTTACATCAAGAAATAGTCTTAGATCTCAGGTTGGAACTTTTTTTACTTATTAAGAGATTATAGATGTTATTTTATGTGAACCACTTTAAACATTTCATTGTTTCTTCAGCTGGAATTCGTATGTCACTTTTGCAAAGAAACCACGATTGAAAATGATCAAATTTCAAAGTTAATAAATGGATATCAATCAACCTTTAAGGTTACCATTGTGAAGCGGACCTTGCCTCTCTTTAAACTGAGGGTCTCCTGAAATTATGTCTGCGGTCCCTTATATGATTGTTTATATGCATGCTTAATTGTGTGGGTGTTTGTTCGTATCCAATAAACGTCAAAAAGGTCGAACCGATCGGCCCAAATTTTGTGGGGGACCTCACATTACCCGAGGGAAGGTTTATGGATTATCAAAATTGGAGAAAAAAATTCCTGAAAAATGTTGATTTTTTTGAAAATGCGCTAATTCGAAAAAAAATCCGCACAAACTTTAAAATGAATTAAAATTTGGATGACTTTCAGAGTAATAGTCAAAAGCTTAAATTATTTACAGGAAAGGGGGCCACGCGCCCTAAAAGCGTAATATTTTTATACTTCGCCTTGCCCAACAAACGTAAAAACGGATGTACTGATCGAGACCAATTTATTTAAGACAACTCACTGACCCCAGAAAAGGTTTATGGCTCGCCAAAGTTAACAAATTTTTCCAGTAAACCCTAGTTTTAATATATTTTGTTTGCACAGGATCTTGAAGTTGATGTAGATGATATGTCCGGCCTGAAATATTTTTACAAGTATTCAATGGCAGCGTATGGATGCTGGTGGTACGTGATGGATTCCCCCTGTACGCATTGCTGTAGTCTTGGATCATACATAGAATACTGTCCTTGCTTTCCCTGTATGCAGCCAGAGGTATATCATCTTTATATTTATAAAGTTGTAATTTATGTTTTTTGTTTGGATGTCCGATCATAACTCAGGAACACCTTGACCGATTTGCCCCGATTTTTAATGGGGAACTCGGGAGACGCATGAGAATGTTCTTAGCTTGATTTTGATATTCTAAATTGAGTGGGTTTATATTTACTTTTATAGGGAAAAATAGCTAACATCGTCATTATCGACCAAACGCGGGCAAACGGCGGGAATAATTACAAGTACACTGTGCATAGCTGGGTTCTCAAGCTGCTCATTAAAAAAATTCTTATTTCAATGGACCAGAGCCAAGAACTTTTGATTTTATAAATTTAACTCGTTAAATTTGTAAATATTGTATAAATGTAATGTATGAGGCTGATGCGAGCTATCGGATCTCTCTCATAGGTTGAATTGGAATTCCTAATTTCTTATTGGTCTAATCTGGTTCATTGGGAGAGGGGTGAAAGTAAACTTTATGATTAAGATGGGAGTTTGATTCATTTGTTCAATCAAAAGTTCCTAGCTTTATTTGGTTTAATTGGTGTATCAATGGTGTGATAATTAAAACATAACAATTCTGGTATATTTCAGTCTTTACAGCTGGAACTTTCAAGTTTAAAGCTCTCACCCGTTTGATCGTTATAAAAGGCCAAAGAGGGGATAGAGCAAATATAGTTAGTTAGAACTGTAAAATCATTAACGTTTGGTCTTTATGCATTAAGTTGTAATCTCTGTTTGTCTGTCTGTCTGTTTGTTTTTCTGATCATAACACTGGACCAATTTTGATTGAGGAAGTCGGGAAAACCACGGGAATGATCTTAGGTTGGTTGGTTGGGGATAAACAGTCGGAGTAACTATGAGTAACCTGGGCAGCGCCGGGGTCCCAAACTAGCAAGTTATAAAATTAAAGAACTGGATTAATACATAGGATAGATTGGTTGAGGGGGATGGATGTTTTCAACATAATCATGCAGCTGCTAAAGCCAAATTAAAAATGGAGGATGAGAGCTTTATTGTTTTTGATAACAGGTAGGTTAATATAAACTTCTTTAAGGAATTGTCCTTCAGTAATTGAAGAGGGTTGTTGCTGATAAAACGCGATTCTTTCTAAACTTACCCACTCTGCATGGTTATTGAGCAAGTAAAATATTCGCTGATAAAGGAAGATAATGGATTGTTTGCCGTAGTGTGCTAGGTGTTGGTTTAAAAGAACTTGATGAAAGAAGCGTGGTATAAGCGGATTAGGTTCGGAAAGAACCTCAAATGTTGATTTCTTGTTGTTTAAATGATGTTTCTCATTTAATTAACCAAGATTATTTAAAATCATCCATCTGTAAAGCAGACCTTAAAGTAAAAATTAGGTTTTTTTTCTTTCTACAGTGATAACCACACGACTATTAATTAGCTAAAAGAAAACCATTAAAAGAGACAAAATCAAATCTTTGTTAAGGACTATTTCTTATGGTGTACCACAAGAGTCAGTGTTGGGACCTATATTGTCCATAAATGATATGCCTAATGCAACAAATGTAGCACAATAATCAAATATAGTTTATTGAAGTGTAATAAATCCGATTGTAAATACTGTGAAGTGTAAGAAGTTTATTAAGTTTATTAAAGACAGCCATTTATAGCTTGATTGATCTTGCTACAAATCAGTGTATGCATAATTGTGATATTTAGTTTTTTTTTGTAGCAAAATAGATAATAAAAAGACGACTTTTAGTTTAAATTTTAGACTTTAATTATTATATTTAACATGAGACACAGCAGTATAGTGCAGTGTAAACAGACTCAATTCACTTAAAAAGTGATAATATAAAACTATTTGCTTTGTAACACCAAGAAATACAATAAATTATTGCTGAAATGTCGTTTTCCTGTTCCACATTTTTCTGGTTCTCTCTAAGATAAATTTTGTTCCAGGAACCGTATTCAAGAAGTTCCCTATTTCATGTACGCGGACAGAGAGAGGAAAAGTTTAGTGATTGCGATCCGAGGAACCTTGAGTATTAGTGACATGTTTACAGGTATTACAGGGGTGTATATTTCCTGAAAAAAAACATTTTCAAAAATAATCGTAAATTTTTTTTTGCGGTTATTCTAATCGTAAATTGTTGAAAATAATGAAATTTTGTGTGAAAAGTTTCAAAAAAGAATTTGCCTTTCAAGTCCTCACAGCTGGTCGATTCAAAAACCAGTATTGTTGTGCATGGCTTGCATACCCATCGGGTATTAGACTTCTTCTTTTAGTTACACCAGGCTGAAGATAAAGTCTTGTTTTATTCTATAAATATTTCTTACTTCCCCTGTAGGATACGAGATGCGCAACTAAACGCAACGCTCTACCAAACTGTAAAGCCGGGACCGCTAAAAGAAAGTTCTCTTCTGAGGGCAGTAGGCAACTGAAATGCCAACTCTAATATAATAGCTAGGGTCTATGGTATATTATGTCAACTTAAAAATAAAAAATAAAAATACTTTCTTGTTGATAGATCTACGAGGGGAGCCTGGTCATCTAGCTGATTGTGAAGAAGTAGAATTTGGAATAGATCCTACCTTTAAGGGACACAAGGGGATGGTAGCTGCAGCTAGGTAGCACATCTAAGAAATTTTGTTCAAAAATGTCCTTTTTTTCCTAATACTATTTGCGTTTTCAGTTATGTCTACCGGCGCCTACATGGGTTACCCGTATCTCAAAGGAAGAAGAATGATCAGGTACGTATTGTGTAGACTGAACAGTGAACAGTGTCAAGTACAGTTTGCAGGTATGTACTGCTTAGATTGTAGAGTACAGTTTGCAGGTATGTACTGTTTAGATTGTAAAGTACAGCTTGTAGGTATGTACTGTGTACTTAGTTCACCTTATAGGCATGTACTAAGTATTGTATATTACACCTTGTAGGTATGTGTAGAATTCATCTTGGAGGTAGATACTGAGCTGGAAACTTTAGAATGGTGGATATCGAGATCAATGCTTGATCTTTTTTTCTTAATATCCAGATTAAATAAAGCTTGTTCTCCTCTAGTTATAGTCTGCTGATTAATTAACTGATCTGGATTAAGGAAATCCCATTCTAAAGTTTTCAGCTCTGTGTAGAGTACATATTGTAGGTATGTACTGTGTAGAGTACACCTTGTAGGAATGTACTGTGTAGAGTACACCTTGTAGGAATCTACTGTGTAGAGTAGACCTAGTAGGAATGTACTGTGTAGTGTACACCCAATAGGAATGTACTATGTAGAGTTCACCTTGTATAAATGTACTGTGTAATGTATGCCTTGTAGGAATTTACTGTGTACTCCTACAATGTGTACTTTACACAGTGTTCTCCTCCTCGATTTTGATGTTTATTATATCATTAGAACTGACAAGGGTCAACCTAGACCGAAATATATTATCAATAAAATGTGGAACTAACATCTTTTTTTGTCTACAGAGGTTTGATCCATCACCATCGTCGAATTTAAATGATAAAGATAAAGTCTTGGTCTGCAGTCTCGAGTTTTTATTATTGATAATAAATAATAATTTATTAGTAAAACAAGTTTATAATATTTATTGCAGGTTAGATCGGAGAGGGTTGAGATATTGCGTCAAACATTGGAAGAGTTCCAAGATATCCACTTGAAAGGACACACTTATCCTCTTCATTATAAGTTTGTTCGTGCGAATACTTTGTGTGCGTTTGTTCTATTGATATGCCTCCATGCTGCTTTCCCTAGCTTTCTTTCTAAATACTTTCCTAAATCAGCTGTTCCCTTGGAGTTCATCTTATACAGGCCTTCAGCCAGCACCATACATCCTTTCAGTCTTAATATACTGTGATAATATTAATTTACGTTTACACAAGATGAAGGAAATATTATAAAAGGAATTCTGTAGATATAAAATTGTCTTGAGTTCCTTACATTTAAAATGTATATTTACGCCGTTTTAATCAGATTTGTAAAATCTTGTATATTGAACCTTCAAAAGTTCACTCACATCTGCAGTACTTACATGTACAACTACAATGTAAGTTTATTCCGAACCCCGATTTATATTCGCAAAAGTTCTTATCTTAAATCCGGGAAATATCTCGGATAAATTCGGGAAATTGTTCTCCCAACGAATGTCAAGATGATGTATTCCTAGTTGTGACTGGACACAGTTTGGGGGCTGGGACTGCTTCGATCCTGGCTTTTATGCTCCGGGCCAAATATCCTGATAGGAATATAATCTGCTACGCTTATTCACCCCCTGGTAGGTATATTCAATTTTGCAATCATAGATTTTTAAAACAGTTTAAAAGTATGGTTTGTAATTATAGATTATTATAACAGATTAAAAGTGTGGTTTGCAATCATAGATTATTAAAGCAGTTTAAAGCGTGGTTTGCAATCATAGATTATTAAAATAGATTAAAGTGTGGTTTGCAATCATAGATTATTAAAATAGATTAAAGCGTGGTTTGCAATCACAGATTATTAAAATAGATTAAAGCGTGAAACGTGCAAATACAATAGTGTGTATGTATGTGCATTAATAAGTTTTTAGCACTAAAGAATACTGAAGAATAAAGGGATGCACCCTACCCAACCTAAAATACAATTGGCAAATGTAATGATCATATGAAAGTGATATTTGAAATAGATTTGAGTAAAAGAACACAATTTTACATTTTGCTTGACAATTTATTTTTTTAGTTATATAACCACTTAATTAAATGACAAAAATGTACAAATTATGAATTATCTGATATTTTCTGCTCAAAATTGTTTAATTATAGATTAAAAGAGTTTTACCAAAGATTTAATATTTAGGCGGATTACTATCTCCTGCCGCTGCGACTGAGAGCGAAAAGTTCACATTGTCATTGGTTGTTGGAGATGACGTCATTCCTAGGACTAGCTTACCGAACATATCTAGATTATCCGTAGAGTAAGTTTATAACACTAGTATACCGAACATATCTAGATTATCCGTAGAGTATGTTTATAACACTAGTTTACCGAACATATCTAGATTATCCGTAGAGTAAGTTTATAACACTAGTTTACCGAACATATCTAGATTATCCGTAGAGTAAGTTTATAACGCTAGTTTACCAAACATATCTAGATTATCCGTAGAGTAAGTTTATAACACTAGTATACCGAACATATCTAGATTATCCGTAGAGTATGTTTATAACACTAGTTTACCGAACATATCTAGATTATCCGTAGAGTAAGTTTATAACGCTAGTTTACCAAACATATCTAGATAATCCGTAGAGTAAGTTAATAGCACTAGTTTACCGAACATATCTAGATTATCCGTAGAGTAAGTTAATAACACTAGTTTACCAAACATATCTAGATTATCCGTAGAGTAAGAATAAATTGATATTTTCCAGTGCTTAGGATCCATTTAATTGAAAAGAATGGATCCGGATCCAGGTTATTTCATTAAAATTTATTTTTAACAAAGCTTAATTTTCCAAATGTTAAACTTGATGAACCATTCAGAAATTAGGACATTTTTTGAGAGTTAAAAGTTTTGGTTGATATTTGCCCCTTGGATCCGGATCCGTGGATCCGAATATTTTTGCGGATCCGGATCCAGGAAGCCAAAATCTTGCGGATCCATCTTTCATTCTTTCATTCTTTCATTCTTTCATCCTTTCATCCTTTCATTCTTTCATTCTTCATTCTTTCATCCTTTCATTCTTTCATCCTTTCACCCTTTCATTCACCTATACATTCATCCTTACATTCATCTTTTCATTCATCCATGCTGAAAATGCAGGACCAATCGGAGTTCTCATATCTTTTCATGAATCCTTAGCGCTCTTTTAATAAATAATATTCATCATTTTATATTCCTTCAATTACTCTTCGCTCTCAAATGTTCAGTCAAAATTGTCCTCTGAAGACGTTGGTAGCCCCAAAATTTAATAAACTCCTGAATTCATGTTTTGATGGAAAACGTTGTTAAGGAAGTTGGTAGATTACTGACTCAAGAGCAGACAGTAAACAGAACTACAATATTAGATACGGATTCTTCAGAAGATACCAGGTTGGTTCTTTACAACTTAACTGAACTGTCGTCCTAATTTCACATGTGCGATTCACACTAGTTTGAGACTGTGTCTGGACATTTCTCATTTTCATGGCGGCTTATATACCTAATTGACTTGAGGATATATTCAGAAGAAAGTGGGTACATGACCAGGATTTGCATTCGTATGAAAATAAAATGGATGATGAGCAATTAATGCTAAATATCTGTTAAGATCTCCTCTAACCCCGTCTTCTCCTGGTTCTGGAGTACAACTACTAGATATCCCTGCAATACACCAGCAACAGTGTCAGATTCAAGTACATCCATCCTGTGAACCTATGTATCTTCCTGGCAGGTAGAGCTAATAGAAAGGAAGAAAAGGGATTGCACTAATGGACGATTAAAAATAAAGTTTAATTATACTTCAGTTGTTCATAAACTGAGTTGAACCGAACATTTTTATGACCAGTCAGTCTTTTAATCATTGCCGTCCTTACTTTTACCTTACCAATCAACTTATACTATTTTCAAATACAAAAATCATTAATATATCTACAAAATATACTTTAATCTAACATCTAAAATATCATTTAAAAATTTAGGATTTATTATATCGAAGATCTTGAGGACGGATCTTTTCATGTTTCCAGACAGAATAGAACTATCTTCAATACTATCCTTGTATCCCCCAGGTATATATCCTGTATCCTTTAGAGAGATCAAACAGAACTCTCTTCAATACTATCCTTGTATCCCCCAGGTATATATCCTGTATCCTATAGAGAGATCAAACAGAACTCTCTTCAATACTATCCTTGTATCCCCCAGGTATATATCCTGTATCCTATAGAGAGACAAAACAGAACTCTCTTCAATACTATCCTTGTATCCCCCAGGTATATATCCTGTATCCTTGACGACAGACAAAACAGAACTCTCTTCAATACTATCCTTGTATCCCCCAGGTATATATCCTGTATCCTTGACGACAGACAAAACAGAACTCTCCTCAATACTATCCTTGTATCCCCCAGGTATATATCCTGTATCCTTTAGAGAGACAAAACAGAACTCTCTTCAATACTATCCTTGTATCCCCCAGGTATATATCCTGTATCCTAGAACTATCTTCAATATTATCCTTGTATCCCCTAGATATATCTATATATATAAACATAAATCTCATCCTGTATCCTGTATCCTTATCCTGTATCATTAAAGATACTGTTGGCGTAATTTCAATTGACCTCATTTTCTTTAATGTAGAATGTTTTTAAAGAAAATTGGAAATTTCATAATGTGAGTTCTCTATAAAGTGGACTTGCGAATTTATGCAGCAGAGTCGAATAGGAAAATTATCAGAATTTAACACTTTCCATGATTGATATTGAAAAACGACGATTAGTTCCTCATTGTTTAGCAGTGAAAGCTTGAAAGGGTACCGTTATGAATCAGGTATAGGGCACTTGAAATTCAGCCGACAATCCCTTGATTATATATTCCTATCTGATTCTATATATGTGCTAGGATGATGGCGGATCATATGCCGAACTATATTCAGAACGTTTTGGACCAGGTTTAAAACAGAACTCGAGGTTTATCTACTTTTATACACTTGTATGTACTTGATACCGTGTACATTGTACAATAGCACGGTGCAGTAGTGTACAGTCTTCGTGAACTCTACGCAGTGCATTGTACACATATTCAGAGAATTGCCAAAGCTTTAGCTTTAATCAGAGGTTACTAATTTGTTTATCTAAAATTACACTCCTTTTGCTTTTAAAAGTTCATTAAAAGCATTTTTTATTAAAACTTCATTTTCATACTTGCCCACTGGCATTCGAGGAGGTTCGAGTAGGATTAAGTTTTGGTTTCCTGTATTCTTGTATTCTTTCTTGATCTCATTCAATATTTTTGAACTTTGTCGCCTTATCCCGGCTTCCGGTAAGCTTTCCCAGAATTTCTTATGTATTTTACATTAATAATAAATTATTTTTAACTGGTTCACAAATTCTTAATATTCCGTTCATAATTAGTTTTTTTTTATAATTTTTGTTCTTCTAAAACTGAAATATTATGTTTTAACACATACATTAAAAAAACTTTCATATATAATTAATATTTAATTATTTTAAAGTTTAAGAAAATATATATTTCAGATTAAAATAATGAAATTAAAGATGGAAAGCTAGCGACTCGATAGTACTTGAGTACAATCATAACATGGCTTCAAGACCTTCCCCTTCTTCCTCATCAGATGTAAGCACAAAGTTACACATTTTTTAGTACACATTTATTGTTTGTAGTACTCATCATCAATCTTACTCAATATTTGTTATTCTAAGTTTACAGTCACCAGCACAGTGTATACAGACAATATTAATATATTATATTATATTAAACAGATAATCATGACTTGTATCCAGATCCATTATTTTCCAGTGCGGATCAAGGATCCGGATCCGCATTTAAATTAAATGGATCCTAATCACTGGCACAGTGTGCACAGTTCATGCTTACAGAAAGAGTACAACGTCGTTGTTAATGGTACAGCGTACACTGTCAATGTTTATAGTACTGAGTGCACAGTCAATGTTTATAGTACAGAGTGCACAGTCAATGTACAGTTAATGTTTATAGTACAGAGTAAACATTCCATGTTTAAAGTACAGCGTACACTGTCAATGTTCATAGTACAGAGTGCACAGTCAATGTTTATAGTAGATAGTACACTGTCAATGTTTATAGTACAGAGTACACAGTCAATGTTTATAGTACAGAGTACACAGTCAATGTTTATAGTACAGAGTACTCAGTTCATGTATATTGTATACGTAAAGAGTACACGGTCAATATGTATAGTACATAATACACTTGTCAATGTGTAAAGTACACTCAATTATTCTTGACAATGCTCGAGTAACTCGCTTTACATTTGTAATGAGTTACGTTCTTGTTTATTGGTGTTTGCAAAATAAGTTTTATTAGGATGGTAAATAATTGCTTAACTGTAGGTTGAAGAGGTTGATGATGTAGAAGAAGGAATACATGTTGGACCTGTATTCAAGAAGAGAAGATTATCCGAGGAACATCTTCCTCTTCCTCCTACCCGTACCAGGTACATACTACCCGAACCACGTAAATACTACCCGCACTAGATTCATACTATCTGTACCAGGTACATACTACCCGCACCAGGTACATACTACCCGTACCAGGTACATACTACCCGCACCACGTACATACTACCCGTACCACGTACATACTTCCCGTACCACGTACATACTTCCCGTACCAGGTACATACTACCCGCACCACGTACATACCACCCGCACCACGTTCATACTACCTGCACCACATACATACTACCCGCACCACGTACATACTACCCGTACCAGATACATACTACCTGTACCAGGTACATACTGACCGTACAAGGTACATACTTCGTAACAAACTGTATCAGGTAAATACTATGTATCTTTCCGTACCAGGTACATACTACGTAACTACCCGTACCAGGTACATACTTTGTAACAAACTGTACCAGGTAAATACTACATATCTTTTCGTACCAGGTACATACTGCGTAACTACCTGTACCAGGTACATACTACCCGTTACCAGGTACATACTAAGTAACTACCCGTACCAGGTAAATACTACCGGTACCAGGTACATACTACCCGTACCAGGTACATTCACATACTACATACCAACCAAACCACAATGCCTTAGCTCGATCACACTTAACTAGACAGAAAGAGTAAAAAGGTCAAAATTAAATGTAATTACTGCTACGACGTTGTGACCTCGTAGTGGCTCTATTGTTGATTTGTTTTTCGAAAAGTGTGAGGAAAGAAAAATCCGCCCACTGCAGAGATTAGAAAATAAAAACGCATCTTCATAAGAGCTGTACAATTAAGGAGTTATGATTGAACACACATTAGCGGAGAGTAGAATTTGTGCCTTCAGAATGGTCAATGTTGTCAGAAATCTTGACCTTGTACCATTGTTAACCATCCAATATAACAAATGAAAAATTTAATTGCAAATATTAAAATTTGACAGTATTTAATGATAATTATGATTTTATATTTAGATCAGTAGAATCCGACAGTACAGATCGTTGCTCTGGTAGCAGTAGTAGCAGCGGGAGTAGAACTGTGTTTGTCTGTACAAGTCGAGGAGCAGCTAGACCAGCACCAGCTTCTATACCTAAGAGTACAGGATGTACTGGGAAACTACCATGTACGTGTTCAACTAGATGCAGGGGAGGTAGTGCAGAGAAGGTAATAGAAACCTATAATTTAGTATTTAAACCTTAATGGACAGTTCTTCAGTGGTGTATTCTTTATCAAATCAAATCAAATCAAATCTAAACACTCAATTAATCAAGCAAATCAAATCTAAACACTCAATTAATCAAGCAAATCAAATCTAAACACTCGACAGTTGATTATTTAAAACTTGAAATTAAGTTTTATACTGTTCAGGATTCAAAGATGACTAGACCCAGTGGGAGAACAAACACAGGCAAAGGTTAATGTAACAAAATTCTCTGCATCAAGTTGGAAAAAAGTGATTTTTTTTTGCAGTGCCCTACATTTTGTCAGGAAATTGATTTACAATTATTATGATTGGTTAGTATTGAAATTTAGTGACATTTAACCCCCTTTTCCCTTCAACCCCCCCCCCCCCGCGATAAGTTATTGAACTTTAATTTGTTGAACTTTTATTTATTATCTTTGAATGGTCCAGGGTGTTCCAGTGGACGGAGTATAAAGGAACAGTGGATGGTGCACGGAGGGGAAAGGGGGCGTGTCCAGGAGGATCCCCAGCGCTGGAGAGAGGGTGGGCGGGGAGGAGAAGATCCGCCCAGGTGGAGGGATGAACCAGGAAGATGGAGGGATCGTGGGAGGGGAGTAGAGGAACAGATTAGTTCGTCTCAGGTTCAAATATTTTATATCTATAAAGGAGTTCAAGTGACCTGTCATCAACGATTTATGATAATGCCATTTAGACTATAAAAATATGATGGTGTGATCCAATTTAAGCACTTTAAATTTAACCATAACAAACCATTAAAAAATATAGACATTTTTTCATTAGTTTTTCACGTGAATAAGTAAATTAATTCTTATTATTGTTTACTTTTTTGTGCACAAATCCGGTAAATAATAAGCTTTTTTGATATGCTGGGAAAAAAACTTTATTGTATTTAGGGTGGTGAACCAGCTGAGCTGGCCAGTCTACAGGCTAGACTCAGACAGAGAGAAGAAGAACTATATTCACAGGTAGATTAGGTCGAGTAGATAGAGTAGATAGAGTAGATAGAGTACAGGCTAGACTCAGACAGAGAGAAGAAGAACTATTTTCTGCCTCCATGCTGCTTTCCCTAGCTTTCTTTCTATCTAAAATTTCATTCAACCATGATCTGTTATTCTAGAGAGAAGAGAAGGAAAGGTTTCTCCGTGAGCTGCAGGATAGTGTTGAATGCCCCGTATGTTTCTCTATACCCCGTACTCCACCTGTACCGTGCTGCCAGAACGGTCACGTGATCTGCACAAGGTGCAAGGAGAAGGTGGAGGTGTGTCCAACCTGTAGGATACCCATGTCAAACTGTGTTTCACAGGTAACATATACTATAAAACACACTACATACTAATATCATCTACCAACGAAACAAAGTAGACACCATCAGGCGCGTAGTTGATCTTTAGCCTAGGGGGGTGTACTTTAGCGAAAATTTAGGGAGGAAAAATTGTGTGCACCCCCCTAACGGTTGAGGCCCTCTGGGTAATTTTTGCATCTACATTATATATTGTCGATTTATAAGAAAAGTAAACTTTAATCTTTAAAGAAAAGTTTACTGTTTAATAAATCAGATCCTGCAACTGGCTCTAGGGGGGGGGCCTAGGGGGTGGCATGTCTAGGGGGGGGCACAGGGGTACCGCCCCCCCCACTACGCGGCTGGACACCATGCTGGCCCTTAATTGGGATCTAGCAAGAGATTCACTAATTGCCAGTATAATTCATTATTCAATTTACTCACTTCAGAGACAGAGTTGACTGATTTTTAGACAGTTAGTTTTAAAACTCTTAAGACTAAAAACTATAATTTTTTCTCCTTTTGCTTTTTAATTTGTATATGATTAAGAAAGCACTGTCAGGTTGTTGTAATGTTTGTTTCCAGGTGGCAGCAACTATAATTCAGAGAATTCAACATCCATGTGATTTCCGTGAAGCAGGTTGCGATACGAGATGTGATATCAGTTCAATAGGTAATTAAACGTCATTACCATGTATACAAGATTGCATCCCATAAACATTAAAACTGCCTCATATGACCTAAGAAGTTTGGCGGGTAAAATATAACGCTAATAATATAACGACCAAAAATATAGCGACTAAAAATATAACTGACAAAAATATAACAGACCAAAAAAATAACCAACCAAAATTTAACCATTTTCGACCAAAAATATAACTTTTTCATTTTTGGTTCTAAAATGGTTATATTTTTGGTTCAAAAATTGTTGTATTTTTGGATTAAAAAAAATAATTTCTAGGGTCGACTACGAAAGTAACTTTTCTATCATTTAAAAAAGGTCATATTTTTGGTAAAAAAATGATTATATTTATGGAAAAAATGGTTATATTTATTGTGAAAAAAATGGTTATATTTTTTAACAAAGATGGTTGTATTTTTGGTAAAAATGGTTATATTCTTGTTGATAAAATGGTTATATTTTCGGTAAAAACATGGTGATATTTTTGTCAGTTATATTTTTGGTGGTTATATTTTCGCCGCCCATCCCTAAGAAGGCGAAAATTTGCTACGATATTATGCCAAGCCTAGGAGTTCTAGACTTAGAGAATTTTTTTTAGTATTCTTTTGAGACATATAAAACGTTACATCAATGATGTATAATTACTGAGTTTAAAGTTGAGTTGGGTGGTGACGTGTTGAGAAAAGATGTTTTAAATTATTAAATAACTAATTAGTTGATTAGGAACAGGTTGAAAATAAAAACAAACTCTTATCGAATATAAGTAAACTTATTCAGTTATTAGTTTCTGTAATCTCAAACATTGTCTGTAGGTTTTCTGGAATTTTTATTGAAAAGACGACATTTGAAGAATTTGTAGAAATCTGCGAACAAATTGGTAAAGAATAAAAAATTCAATATAATGATGAAAAAGAAATAATTGACTGAAACATTGATTTATTGACCAATTTCTATTGAGAAATATGTTCTTAAACATCTAATTAGTTTACTATAGAATTTTTGATACATTTATAATTTGTTCATAATCTACGATAAAGAAAAGTCTATTGGAAAGAGAGTAAAAAGTTTTTTTTTTATTTTCTGATGAAAATTTGTTGTTCTACTAGATGAGCATGAAGAGAGTTGTGGTTTCCGTTTAGTTCGTTGCCCACATTGGGCCTGTGATGAACTTGTCTCATTAACAAGTAAGCTGTTTTTTTTTAATAAATAAGTAGAAGCCCCTGTTTTTATAACCTAACAATGTACTTTTATATTTAGCATTTTTTTAGTCCTCTCACAGTTTAAAAAAATCTTCAGTTGTATGTTTATTGATAATGTTGACATATTTGAATAACATGAACAAACGGTTTTATTAACATTAATTTGCTTTGATACATTTAGACGATAATCCTGCAAAACAAAATGAATTCACTTGTAGACATGAAACTATTAGAATTAACTTTTTTGGTCAAGTATTTTTAAATTTAGGTTTGACAAGTCACGTGATTAGTTCCGAGTGTGGAGATAACTATATGTCTAAACCTCTACCCTACCAGGTATACTAAACTTATAGTATTCCTTATATTACGACTTCGAATTAATGATCTTAATGAGTTAAATTATGTCTTTTGTAACATATTTTCAAAAATAAATATAAACAAACATATTATTGATTTTTTTGGTTCAGTATTTCTATTGAAAACAATCCCCTTATTAGTTTGGTTAAGCTAGATATATAGATATCCAAGGTTGCCAAAATTATGATAAAATCCCCTACACTTGATATCACGAAGGTTTTCAACTATGTCACGAGCGGACCCAACCAAGGCTGCGTATAAAGGGAGTGACCGGCAATGTTTGGTAGTTGATCTGAGAATGTAGTATTGTGGGGAAATTTTTGAGGAATCATTTGAGACCTATGAGACGTTTTTACGATGAATATTTGTTCAGCAAGAGTAAAGATTCAATATTTAATCTTCATAGATTGTTCATTTTTGAGGGATGATTTTGAGAATCGGATTTTGAAAAATTATTCAATAACGACAACGAAAAATATAGTAAAAATTCTACAGTAAACTGATAAGTTGTTTAGGAACAGGTTGAGAAAATAAAACTCAACTATTATCATTGAAAAAAAGTAATCTTATTCAGTTATTGGTTTCTGTAATTTCTCATTGTTCACAAATATTTTCTTTAGATTTCCTGGAATTTTTGCTGAAAAAACGACATTTGAAGAATTTGAAAAAATCTGCTAAAGATTTCACTAAGAATAAGAAATTCTATAAAATGATGAAAAAAAATAATTAATTCTAATTTGGATTTTTTGAGAAATTCTCAGTTGAGAAATATCTTCCTAAACATCAAATTAGTTTACTGTAGAATTTTTTACATTTTTTTTTTGTTGTTATTTAATTATTTTCAAAAAACCGTTTCTCAAAACTTAGCCACTAAAATGGATGATTTTTAACGTCGACTTTGCGCTCAAACTCAGTAATTATACATCATTAAAACGTTTTATGTGTCTTAAATGAATTTTAAAAAATTTTCTCCACAATACTACATTCTCAGTTCAACTACCATATATTGCCGGTCACTTCCTTTAATAACAGCTTTGTTGTTTCAGGAAGAGATAGAGTATACACGAGCTCTTGATGATCAGGACGGTAGTTCTTTCTGGAGACCGTCACTACTACAGTTTAATAATATTACATTCTACCTTCAGGTTCATTATACACTATACACTATACACCCATACACTAGATATTTTTTCTGGAGACCGTCACTACTACAGTTTAATAATATTACATTCTACCTTCAGGTTCATTATACACTATACGCTATACACCCATACACTAGATATTCTTTCTGGAGACCGTCACTACTACACTTTAATAATATTACATTCTACCTTCAGGTTCATTAATCATTATGCACTATACACCCATACACTAAATATTCTTTCTGGAGACTTTCAGTTTAATAATATTACATTCTACCTTCAGGTTCATTATGCACTATACACTATACACCCATACACTAGATATTCTTTCTGGAGACTTTCAGTTTAATAATATTACATTCTACCTTCAGGTTCATTATGCACTATACACTATACACCCATACACTAGATATTCTTTCTGGAGACTTTCAGTTTAACAATATTTCATTCTACCTGCAGGTTCATTATGCACTATTCACTATACACCCATACACTAGATATTCTTTCTGGAGACTTTCAGTTTAACAATATTACATTCTACCTGCAGGGTCATTAAGCATTATGCACTATACACTATACACCCAAACTCTAAATATTCTTTCTGGAGACTTTCAGTACTACAGTTTAATAATATTACATTCTACCTGCAGGGTCATTATGGAAACAATTAAATCTATAATATATACTTTGCTTGTCTGTCTGTTTTTATTTTTCCTTGTTGTTTGTTTATAACCAATAAACGTTAAAACGGCTGAACGGATCGGGCCAAAATTTTGTGTGGGACTTCACATGTCCCCGGGGAGAGTTATAGATGATCAAAATTTAAAAAATTAGACTCCAACAAATTTTTTATAGAATACTATAATAATCCGCCAACTTTTTGTTTGTCTTTGTCTTTTAATGTAAACAACGAGAAAATGTTCTCAATTAAAATAGAAGATGGGCGCGAGCGCCCTGAAAGCCTAATAATATTACATTCTTCCTTCATTATAGATATTTTGCAATAATAACCCATCGTACAAGTCTCAGTATAAAAACTACTCAACGTTCATTAAACTTGGCCACTGAACGTATTTACTGTAAATAGTTAATATATAATACTATGTCCTCCTAAACTGGATCCTTAAGGGGACGTTATTCTTTCTGAGAATGAACAAGATTTAATTGCAATGTCATTAAAAATTACCTGTAGATTTTTGGAGCAGACTTAAAGTTTTTTATAATAGAATAAAGATGATATCTCCTTTATTGCTACTCAGATAACATGAGAGGTGTCGTTGTAAATCGGACATGAATGACCAATTGAGAATACGTTGACATTCCCTTTAAATATGTTAATTTGTCTAGATAGAGAAAAGTGGTAAGAGTAGACAATGGTATTTCTATGTACAGATGGAAGGTTCAACTTCAGAGTGTGATAAGTAAGTAGTAAACAGTTAATATAATTAATTACCTACAACAAATCTTTATTAATCAACAGATTATATTTTCAATAAAAACAGAAAAGATAAAGACATTTTTAAGTACAAGTTGATATCTATATTATAAAACAAGAAATTCGTATATATATATATGTTGCCTTTAGCCGGCGAAACGGCGGGACCGATTGGGCTGAATTTTTTTTGTGGACACTCATGGGCGGCCGGGGAGTGTTAAAGGCCGCCAAACTAAATTCGAAAATTTTTTTCAATATTTTTTTCCCCAACATTTTTTTTACCATGGGCAACGCCGGGCCCTTCAGCTAGTTAAAATATAAGATAAATCTTATTTTTCTGAGATTTTAAATCACTAAATTAAGCATTAAATTTTCTTTTTTTTCTCAATCCAGAAGAAATTCTGTGCCTATGCAGTACGCATTCTCCGGAATTTATACTATAAACAATTTCAAAAAATTAATCTTAACTCATGCACTGTGAATGTCACGAAAATTTGATTGACTCTTCGATGTACAAATCCAAGATTTACTTTACAAGTCTAGGCTTTCGGATAGATATGTTACAATGTCATTGTATTATTATTATTTTTTTTAGGATTGGAAGTAATTGATAAGTTATTGTGAAAAAAATATTGGAAAAAATAACGATAATTTGTCTAAAAAGTACCTATTAAAGTACCTATTAAAGTACATATTAAAGTACCTATTAAAGTACCTATTAAAGTACCTATTAAAATACCTATTAAAATACCTATTAAAAGTACCTATTAAAGTACCTATTAAAGTACCTATTAAAATACCTATTAAAGTACCTATTAAAGTACCTATTAAAGTACCTATTAAAGTACCTATTTAAGTACCTATTAAAGTACCTATTAAAGTACCTATTAAAGTACCTATTAAAAGCTGTAAAGTAATAGTACTTTGTTCATTCTTCATGAAGGGTCGGTTTATATTACTTTAACATTGTTAAATTAAGTTCTGCAATGTATCCCTGTATTTAGATTTGAAACCCAGATAACAGTTTGTAAATCCTCTAGTTCCGACAGGTTCTCTATATCATATTATGGGAAAGTCTGTCCTATAGATACTAAAGGTCGGTTATTTTTAGTTATTAATGCAATTTTTGTAAACTATAAGCCCGATTTTTTAGATAAAACAATGATATTTCTTGACTTAGTCAGTGCTGGTTTGAACCATCTCAAAGAATCTTAACGAAGAAAAACTCGTTATTAAAGAATTTGCTCTATTTGCAATCCTTGATGTACGATGTACATCTTTTTAAATCTTCATTTTTCAGATTATAATATTTATAAATACCTTCATTACAGTAACATGAAAACTAATGTTAAAGGTCTGCCTACTGTGTACTGCCGTGGAGGAAACTTTAAACAACAAAAAATAATATTGACATGCTGGGTTTTAATAGGAGGGGGAGGGGGAAAGATACAAGTTCTGGGTGAAAGTTGATATTTTTAAAGTGCTAGAGGGATCAGTTCTATAATTCTGTGAACATGACATATAAACTGAGGTCACTCATTTCACATTATTGTACATTGTACATGTAAATTGTACAGTTTGTACTAAGTATCTATAGATCTAGGAAGTGGGGTAAAAAGGTTATAAACCCCTATACTATAACTACTCTCCTTAGTTCTACTCTCATTTGTGTGTATTGTGTTATGCACTAGATTACTGTACAATTACAAACTGTACATGTTATATATTCAGTATTGGTATGCATGCATTTAAACAAACCTGGAAAATTTTATCTATTCGTTTAAAATCCTCAGAACCCATGATATCTTTAGTTCGAAACAAATCTGGGTCTATATTTATTTCGCCCTTTATATAACAATTTAATTCAACTAACAATGAACAAATATTAATTTGGTTTCCAACTCCATAGAAATTGTGATAAGATTTTTGTTGATATTTACAAATTTCTTTATATTTCAGAAATATGATGAGGGGAGGAGCTGCTTCAAGAATTTTTAAATATATTAGTTCACAACCCGCACTCACCAAATACACTAGTTCACAACCCGCACTCAGGACTCTACACACATTTCCTTCTGTGAACTGTACGAAGAATGTGAATAATGTTGGTGGATTATTATCAGGATCCCGAGCACCATTCCTTGGAGTTAACTTACATATACTTCAACAAACTGCTGGGTGAGTAAAGTTTGATAAAACTTAGTTTATTGCACTAATGTGATCACTAATATCTATAATGGGATATTCTAAATGTCCAATTACTCTTTATTCAGAGATAGCGCATAAACGTCGCATTAACTCTAATTGTGTTTTGTTTTTCTAATCATTAATGACGTTAATCCCCTTTGTCCCGAATACTTAGCAGAAAAACAATCAAATCTTTTTATTTGAATCTGCATTTTTTATGTGTATTTATTTGATTTTGATAAAAGAGAAACGTAGAAAGGTTGCATATTTCAAGGTGCGTTTTAATATCAACGAAAAGAATTTAGACTCCACGGGTTGGAAACACAGAAATAAGAGAATAAGAGTCGAATTCGTGTATCTTTCTTTTTGAATTCATATCTATTTGTTAAGGAAACATGTCGGAGTCCCTAAACTACGATGTCGTCACTGTTATTTTGTAATTCAAGATGAAGTAAAACATGTAATGTGTACTGCAATGCCGAGGCATAGACAGGTACATTGCACTGTAAAGTTTACGCTTAATCATCCCTTCAGCCAATACAATGACGTAACATAGCAATGTAATGTTTACAAATGAAGTGTACTGCAGTTCTTGGAAGGAATAAAAACAACGCTCATCCGGAGCAGCATTGCGTTTGTTTACATACTTCCCAGAAACTTCAGTACACTTACTTAATTACAACATGGAATTTTCTTGTATATTCTTCTTCTCAGATACTTTGTTAAAGACAAAACATATTTCAACGCATTAAATTATTTCGATAATATATATAAAAGACAAAATGCAATGAGAAAAAACGCACAGAATTTATTGCACTATGGAGGATGGCTAAAAAATACGATTGCGTTATAAACGAAAATTGGAATATACAGGGGTCTTTCTGCTGAAAGGGCAATTTCTATTTGTTCTTTCTTTCTGTCTCTCAACAATTTTTTTCATTCCTTTCACTCATTTAGCCCTTCATTCATCAAAAATTCTTTTATTCATTATTTCTTTCAATATTACATTCATATTTTCATCTTTAAATCCTTTTCCAAAAAATCTCAACTACTTATCCCAATTAAATTTTATCTCGTAAAGGAATTCATTTTTGAATCGTTAAATTAAGAGTTTATTGAAAACTTTAATGTTTTCTAGACTCAGAAACTAACTGCTGCTAAATTCGGGAACATGATACTCACACATGCTACACAAGTCAGTATAAACATAAATAAATAGTTTTTAAGCTCAGCTGTCGGGAATTAATAATTATATAATCCCTATATTTTTGCAATCTGATGTCAAACCCTTAAATATTTCAAACTTTGATCTAGGAAAACATAAACTTAAGTCCTTAACATCAGGTTGCAAAGCTTTAATTATCTAGCTTGTCGAGGAAAATTGGATCTTTTGTCATACTTTAACTATCTTTAGAGTAGTTATCTTAATGAATTAGAATTCTTAAACTTAGATAATTTTTAAAAAATGGGAAATATTTTTAAGAATATTATTCGTTATATTATTATATATTATGCTACTATTTTTAATTATTATATTAATTTCCAAGATTTAATTATTTGAAATGATTTTAGGGATCCTGGAATAGAGGTGGACGAGGATCCAGACATATGAAGACTCAGGACAGTTTCAGGATGGATTTCTAGCTCACTTGCATTTTATTAAAATATTCATATTTTTCCAGATTAAACATGTTTCTCTCCAAGATGTTGAACGCTGTTGACCATCCCTATATTACAGGGAAAGGAGGACGTAAGGCCAACAATGGAGTCGGAAGCATGCAGGTTGGAAATTATTTCAAGCTTTACAAGATTTTTTCTTAAAAACTATCTTCACGTATTTCATTGAGCAAGGAGGAATATTTACAGTGACCGATAGGTTGTTTTTAGTTAAAAGAATCATTTTAAGAATGATTTACAACGTTTTTATTAATTTTTCATGTAAGTATATCTTCAAGGTTGGGTTGGGTTGGGTTGGGTTGGGTTGGGTTGGGAGACTATTTGTCGTAAGATTGAAGGTGATTTTTGATCTAGTTGTAATTTTTGATAATTAATGTTTAGTACGAGAACCGGGAACCCTTTTGTTCTCTAAAGATGCCTCGTTGTTTTTATGACTTTAAACATCAGATTAGTGGACAATGGACACTGGACATAGTAGGAAATTTGAACCTATGAGATTTCAGTTCAATATTGGGTTAAAGTTATCTTTTCCTTTCCATGTACAAATGCTCAGCTAATACCTACTATTCAATACAGGGTTTGACCATCAAGAGCTTGAAGCATCATGTTGCCCTGCAACCCCTCTTCGCCATCATCGGAGCCGGTATGGTCTTCGTCGGAGCTTATGTCTTCAGGTCAGTTAGGATAACATGGACTTTATATCGAGCATTTTTTTAATGTTGATAAAATTTTTAAAGAAAGATTTTTATTGCAATTTACAATTTAATTGTGAACATTTTCTCTTTGTATACATTGTAAAACAAATAAAAAAGTTCGCGGATTTTATCTTTAAAAATTTTTTTCTTTAATTTGATGAAAATCGAATTTTGTTGGAGACTAATTTTTGAAACTTTAATCATCCAAAAACCTTCCCTGCATGGAGGTCATGTGAGGTTCAGCCGTTTTTACGTTTATTGGATACAAAAAAAACAGACAGACAAGCAAAGTATATATATAGATTGCTTTCTAAATTCGTATCTTAAATATTATGGCGTAAATCTTATCGTTTTACTTGAAAAATATCTCATTTACTTTTATCCACTGTTCTGTAGAAATACACGAGTTTCAGTTTCGATTGAACGGATTTGGGATTCGTTAGCATAAAAATCCAACAATTTTTAAGATTTGGTTTATTAAACTCTGTGCTGTGTCAATTTCTAGCATTCTTAAGATTAGCTGAATATTAAATCATCCTCAGAAAATCTTGAAATTAAGTTTTCAATATTTTATTTCCTCCATGATTCCTATTTTTTTTAGCTATATTGAATTTGAAAAATATACAGGTTTGGGATTTTTTTTTCTATTTACAGTCTTTACTGAAAAATCCCTATTGTAAAAATGATTTTAAAAGGTGTTTTTTTTTAACATTGAGAATATTTTTCTCTTCGTTTTTTTTTGTTGTTTAGCAACTAAGCTACTAGTATCATATATATTTAGACTAGAAACTAAGCTACTAATATCATATTTATCTAGACTAGCAACTAAGTTACTAATATCATATATATCTAGACAAGCAACTAAAGTTACTAATATCATATATATTTTGACTAGTAACTAAATTACTAATATCATATATATCTAGACTAGCAACTAAGCTACTTATGTCATATATATTTAGACTAGCAACTAAGTTACTAATATCATATATATCTAGACTAGCAACTAAGTTACTAATATCATATATAGACTAGCCACTAAGTTTCTAATATCATATATATCTAGACTAGCAACTAAGCTACTTATGTCATAAAAGACTAGCAACTAAGCTACTATTATCATATATATCTAGACTAGCAACTAAGTTACTAATATCATATATATCTAGACTACCAACTAAGCTACTAATATTATATATATCTAGACTAGCAACTAAGCTACTAGTATCATATATATCTAGACTTGCAACTAAGCTACTAATATCATATATATCTAGACAAGCAACTAAGCTACTAATATCATATTTATCTAGACTAGCAACTAAGCTACTAATATCATATATATCTAGACTAGCAACTAAGCTACTAATATCATATATATCTAGACTAGCAACTAAGCTACTAATATCATATTTATTGAGACTAGCAACTAAGCTACTAATATCATATATATCTAGACTAGCAACTAAGCTACTAATATCATATTTATCTAGACTAGCAACTAAGCTACTAATATCATATATATCTAGACTAGCAACTAAGCTACTAATATCATATTTATCTAGACTAGCAACTAAGCTACTAATATCATATATATCTAGACTAGCAACTAAGCTACTAATATCATATTTATCTAGACTAGCAACTAAGCTACTAATATCATATATATCTAGACTAGCAACTAAGCTACTAATATCATATTTATCTAGACTAGCAACTAAGCTACTAATATCATATATATCTAGACTAGCAACTAAGCTACTAATATCATATTTATCTAGACTAGCAACTAAGCTACTAATATCATATATATCTAGACTAGCAACTAAGCTACTAATATCATATTTATCTAGACTAGCAACTAAGCTACTAATATCATATATATCTAGACTAGCAACTAAGCTACTAATATCATATTTATCTAGACTAGCAACTAAGCTACTAATATCATATATATCTAGACTAGCAACTAAGCTACTAATATCATATTTATCTAGACTAGCAACTAAGCTACTAATATCATNAACTGTAAAAAATGAATATCTTTCAAGATACTTTCACATGTGTAATGAAGAGGGGCGAAAAATAAGCACTTACTTAGTTAAGGTGTTTATTTTTTGTAGTTATAAATGAGTTAAAACTGAAGGGGTGCGTTAATGGACGTTAATGTTAAGAATAATGTCTAAACTTGTATATTTGTTGCAGACAGTTCCAGATGCTGAATCCTGCCGGAATAGACTACTCCAAGCTGAGTCAGGATAGACCAAGATACGAGGAATAGATCAATATCTATCCATCTAGTCAAATAGCTCTTAATACTAGAGAGCTGTAGAGTGCAATAGTAACTATATTATTTAATCTCAAATTAAGAATATGTTCCGTATGATAATCAAAGTTCGGCATTAACGAAACCAAAGAAGTTAAATACTCAGCCCTATCCACAAGACTGTAGATATTGTTATTCAATAAACGATGAAAAACCATTATGTTTTCTTCTTTCAGATTATAGAAAATGTGATCAGGTGATCGAAGAAAAATAATTTAACATTTTGAATTGAAGATGTTCAGTCGTCCACCATCAAAGGAAATATTCTACTTCATATTCTAAAACAGCTATTTGACGGTTTATATAGAGCTGAAAACTTTTAAATTAATCATCTCCTAAATGGTCTGTAGTGAATGAGTGTCTCACATATTTCCGTCATACTACCTTAAAATCAACTACTAACAAAAAAATAAATGTACGTTAGTGTGCACTTAAATGACTGTTGAGTGTTACGTAGCTTATGGGACCCGCCTTTGAAAGAGAGGGAGGTCTGATTCACAACGATACTCTTTAAGTCAGATCTTTTTCTGAGATANTTTAATTAAGTGGTTTCTCTGTGAAGAAGAACTGTGGATTTATACGACTTGGAGACTAAATTAAATTAAGCGAATTCAATAAGTTTTCTTATCGTTTTTTTTAAAGCACCTTGATCTCTCACATCTGATTGTCACAGTTTACGTAGATTCATTGTGTATTCGAGCACGATCATTTTCTATCTGTTTCACTTGCTCTCAGCCTCACTCGCACTTAGGCCTCACTTGCTCTCGCCACACTTGCTATCAAGTCAATTTGCTATCAGGCCTCACTTGCTATCAAAACGTTTGCTCTCCAGTCTCAACTGCTATCAATGCTCATCTGCTATCAAAAACTAGTTACTATCCAAATACTTTGCTATCAAAATAGTAGTTGTGTTTCTAAATAAGTTGGTATTAAAACCAGTTCTTAGTTCATATTACGAAACCAGTTTATATATGGTTGTTCAAATAATATTAATTTATAAAATGAAAAAGGGAGTACATTAATAATACAATATATTATATTCAATTTAAACGAGTCGACGTCATGCCCACGCAAAGTTTGCCAGAGACTGAAGAATTCCAAATTTTGAGAAATTTTTCCATTTTTTTGCGGATTTTTAGAAAAAAAAAACTGGTTAAAGTAATGATTGAGAGCAAGTCGAAAATTTGATAGCAAATGATGATTGATAGCAAAATTGTTGATTGCAACTGAGGATTGATAGCAATTTTTGGAGAAAATCCAGGAACCAATCAAAACTTTATAACAAACGTGCTATAATGTACAGTTAATTGAACTTTAAAGCACGGCGATTACTTTTTAGCACGTTCATTATGAAATTAACGATGAAGTGAGGAAGAATGATAAAATACACAATAGTTTCACAAAAAATTATACGTAAATGTAATGCTTCATTTAGACATTAAAGTTTAACTGTAATTATAGTTCTTAATCACAAATTTTGAAATGTTTTCCGGATTAGATTTTACTTTATTTATTTTTTTATTTTTAACAAAGACTGCCATGATGAACGACCATGACAATGTCGATCCGGATTTAAGGTTTGAGCCAACTTTGTCCATTTTAAGACTTAGTCCTAGGCAGAATTTACTTTTATTGTAGAAGTTTTCATGAATATTTTAAACACTTTTTGCTAATTTAAGACACCGGCAGCCGTAGTACATATGAATTTCCGAGCCAGGTCAACCTTTCCGGTTCCAGTTTGTACTGTATCGCCCGGACATTGGGTTAATAAAGCAGACACTCAATAGGACTAGCCGGTGCAACAAGGTTGACGCGTTCAGACTTAAGGTTGAATTTACTTTTACAAAAGGGTCATAGGTGCGTGAAGATCAAAGGGGATGGTGGAGTTGGCACATTTGATGTAGGGGGGGGGGGGCCCTGCCTTCATTTTTGGTTCAAATCTTCCAATTTTTTGGGTGCACGCCTAATTAGGGTTCGAAATTCCTATAATAAAATAAAATTGAACTTTAATGACCTCTAATGACCTCTAATGACCTC